ATTACCGTGATTAGAAAGGCAAGAGCATCGAAATTCAAAATCTCCTTTTTTTTCTGAAAATTTTTGTACGAAAGTCGTAATAGTAGCCCCTTCATAATACAAGCCCCCCCTAAAAATTTTGAACACTCGGACAGTTTAGAAGCCCCGGAGGCTTCTATTATGGGGGGGGGGTTATGAATAGTTGATTGGGCTGTAGTCTTCTTCTGGTGTGTTTGGTGGAATACATGTGTTGATAAAGAAGTGACTTTATTTTGTTTTGATTTCTACGCTCTCTGTTATGTTCCGTAGTATGCGGTTAGTTTCGTGACTTATGATGAAGTGATTTATGTTGTCGCGTTAAGCTGCTTCGTACCTACTCGATTAAATATTTTGATGATGTTCCGATGAGTTGAAAGGGAAATAGAAGAACGTTTTGAGATGAAAATAGGAACATTACCGTTTTAGTCTAGACTAAGAAATTTACGGTATAAGAAAATTTCCTTGAATCGTGAGGATTCGAGAGATTGTGTCTATCACTCAGAGGAGAATTCGATCATGTATAGAATGGCATTTTGTTATAGTTGTGTTCTTACCCTGATTAAGCATTTGTGTAGTTTTCTTCAGGATTTTCAAGTGAAAACAAATCGTCTCTTGAAAATGGCATAATATAAATTTGGTTTTGCAATAAACCACTAAATTTATTTCGTAACAATTATTGCATGACGCCTATTCTCTAAGCAATTATTTATAGCAATATTTTTGCTATTAGCTAACATTTGACTTATATAACTAAAATGAACGATGTTTTGCGTTCGCCCATGTCTAACAGCTACATACTATTTTTTTGCTTTTTAAAATACTAGATACGTTTACAAAGTTGTTTACTAACATTCGATCCAAGTCATCCACATTGTATTGACTTTTATCTTCAACCTCTATCAAACATCATTCTCATACTCAGTTTTTAATGCTAAATCTGAAGGAAAAAACTTTTTCAAAATGTTATGACAACAAAAAAGGAAAACATTTAAGTTTTTCAAAGTTGAAGGATTTTTTGAAATTTCAGATTTTCCAATTTTTCTTCTTTAACAAAATAGTTTAAAAGATTAAAAAACAGTTTTTCTTACTCAGCTCTATGTGCTCCGTCCAACCATACATAGAAAAACGAAAAAACGTTTTTTGCTGAAAGTTTAAATTTCTGACACCTTGAATAAAACGAGAAAAACATTGTCGCTATAACTGAAATATGCTTTTGTCTTATTTCTTGTTCTTCAGACTTTACTGTTTTTATTTTTTGTATCAATATCAATGAAATAACATAGCACGAGAGAGCCGAACAAAAAATAGAATGTACATACTGGAAAGTGATGGATGAGCGGTATAGAATTAAATAAGTGACACAAAAAAATTTATTTGTTTTTTTTAAACTGCAAGCAATAAAAGTAAGAATTGTTCGGAGGATAGCACCAACGGACTTAAATAAAAGAAGAGCTTAAATACTAAAAATTTAAGTCATACAACAACAATAAAGTGGAATGCAAACAAGAAAAAATACTGAAAAAAGGAAGTGAGAAAATAAATCACATACACATTTAAATGAGGAGTTAAAAGTCTTAACATTCTATATATTGTAGTTGTGTATAAAAGAAAAATTTTGACTAAATTTGAATTAATAATAAAAAAAGAAAAGAAATGATCATTACAAAGTGAATTATAAAGAAATAAAAACAACAGATCATTCTCATTTCGTTGAAAACTACGTTGATTACATTAGTGAAAGAAAATCTAACTGAAATTCTTTTGGTATTTCTAAATGTTCAAATGAAACGGTAGATGGTACATATGGATAGACTAATGGATAAGTAAAATTTAGATCAAAATTTTCTTGTTGTTCATAGTCAATACGTTTTTGATCTACGGTTGATCCTAGACGTTGTTGTTTCAAAGCTTCTCCAACTTTCTTTATTAATGACGGTGTTACTTGATCATCGAAATCATCCATCGACTTATATAAACTCAATAATTTAGTTACCTAAATTAAAAATTAATTATTTCATACTCTAATTCTTTCTTTCACTAAGTATATCTAACCTGAACAATTGTTAATGATTTGCATACATTTAACATTTCACTAATACTATTTTCATCTTTTTTACATAGAAATAATTGAACAGCTTGTGTCAACGGTTGTAAACAATCAGCAGCGCCACTTTCTTTTAATTGTTGATCACGAAGCCATTCACTCAAATGATTTAAATTATATCTACAATAACATAAGAATATTTTTTTAATTTAGATCTAGTGATTAATACAAAATATATATCAGCGTGTTTAATATCAAATATGCCTAGACTAAAATGTCATTTTTGACTCGATGAGAGGAAGAAAGAGACTTTCTCACGAGGAAACGTTCCCAACTGACCAATCGCTTTCGAGCCGAAACCTGGCGGACTATAGGTAGTCGACCATGCTAATTCCAAAAATCAACATGAGACGGACTAATAGGCTGGGAGATGTCTCATTTTAATCAGAAATGTGCGGGCTACAATTATGCCTCATTAAGAAAGGTTTTGGTTATTTTTTCAAGTTTCTGAAAAACTGGTTTTCCAGAAAACCAGTCTCTGGAGGCCTGTTAGCCCATCTCATGTTGATTTTAGCATGGTCGACTACCTATAGTCCACCACCAGGTTTCGACTCGAAAGCAATTGGTCAGTTGGGAACGTTTCCTCGTTAGTCTAATCTGATATTAGCCGAAATTTGATTTTATATGTTGACATATTCATACCTTATTTGTAATGCTTTACTCCAATTACAACAATCACTTCGTACTAATAAACCTCTCAATGCTTGTGCATCAATGATGTAGAATATCTAAACATAAGAAAAGTCATGTAGACCTTATTCTTAGAATAAATTAAAAACTCGTACTTGTTTGAATAACTGTTGAATAATAGCTGGTTCAACAGAATACATTTGTAATATTTTATGATAATCGTTTAACTAAAGTAATAATAAATTATTCTGTGATGTTACAGAAGAACATTTTTTTTGAGAGAAAAAAAATATACCTGTTTCATCAGATCTTGAGCCGAAAATTTTGGTCGTTTATCCATACCCGGTGTACTCGTTGAAGTTGACGTCGGTATAGCACCAGCTTGATCAAGATCTTCATGTTCAATTATCGCTGGAACTGTAGAGGAAAAAAAGATAAGACAAAAGGCATTTTTGATCTTTTAAACAAAAAAATTGTCTAAAGTCGATTCATTTTAGTTAATAGAATAATCTTAAAAACTTACTTATCATTGGTATTAATTTTACTTTCATTCGATTTAGTATTTCATCATACAAATGGACGACAAGATCGGAAAATATTGTACGATAATCTGTTAAATCAAAATTTCTTAAACATTGTTCATTTTGTTTTGGTGTATTTTGTACAACATATTTCTATAAAGAACAACATTTTATGTATAAGATAAAAGGAGTCATTTTCATTTTTCTACATACTTCATCACCGCTATATTGTTGAAGTGTGTGTAAAAATCGAACAGTATTCGCTGTCCACAGTATAACATATTCAATATCTTCATTTCGCTATCAAATAAAATAATAAATTATTTTTCTCTTTAATTTATTTTCTTCTATAAAATAGTTAATTATAACTTACTCGCGGTATTTTTTTTATTTTTTTTGTTACAGATGATAAAAATGCAGCGACGAGACCTTCATCATCTAGAAAATCAATGTATCGAATACACATAAACAAAATATAAGCCGGTAATCCAGGTAGAAATTTGGCTGCTAGACGAGGTTTTAATTCTAAAAAAACGAATAAAAAAAATATTTAAAATATTTCAATATTAATAAAATGAAATGATCTTACCTAGAATAACGGTGTCAGTTATTCTTTCTGTATGTTGGGGTGTACATTTCATCATTCCATTTAAATGTTTTGAACTTTGACGTCTTAAATCGCCTGGATTGACATATGGATTATTTGATATAACGGTCGTATCATTACTATAATTATCTAACATTCGATTTCTTAAATATTGATCTGGATTAGATGTTGTTCCTGCTGTTAATACATGTTCCAATGATAAATTAGCTAAAAAGAAGAAGAATATTTTTAAACTATTATATATAATAAATTTTCATTATTTTTACATTCTGAAAATGTTTTATTAATTAGTTTAATCACTCTTCTTAATTTTCTCATTTCTAATTGACTATTACGCAATGTATCGCGTAATTCTAAATTTTCAGTAATAACATTTGCAATTTGTTGTTTCATCATTTCATCAACGGTATTTTCATCAATTGTTTTACATAATTCAATATTTTCATTTTCCATTTGTTGTAGACGTTCTTGTATACGTAAATATTCACGTTGATATGCTGTACGACATTGATCTAATTCTAATTCTAACATTCTAAAAGAAATAAACAAAAAAGAAAAGAAGAAATATAACAAATTATATGTTAGAGAGAAAATTTTACATACTTGTTAATTTGTTTTTGACTCTCATATGCTTGTTCAATTGCATCTGCATTGCCCAAATCATCTTTCGACGAATTTTCATATGTTAATACACGATCTTTCAATGTAGATTTCATTTGAATTTGATCTTTACGACGATGATCTAATTCAGCGTTTAATGCATCGAATTGAGCTAAAATATAAAATAAGATATATCTTTGATAAATAGTTGTCTATCTATAATAGTCAAAATTCTAATCTTTATATATATTTTATTCGAATTAACTTACCTAATAATTGTTCTCGTGCACCTGTTTCATCTCCTTTCAATACTGATTCTCTTAATGATTTTAAATCATTTTTTAATCTATCCATTTCTAATTCATCTAAATGCCATGATTGTGTTTTATCGGCTGATGTTGTTCCATCAATACTAGTTGATCCACTTATTAGCGATGAACGAGGGCCACCATTATTAGCATTTTTTGTCACTTTATCTAGTTCATCTGTTAATGTTTTGTTAACAGTTTCTAATTGCTGTAATCGTCGTTGTAATAACAAAAGTAATCCGCCACCTCCTTCAGTTAGAAGATTTTTATTTGCATCTTGTTGCCCATCTTGATCTTGTCTCCAATTAATTGTTGAAGATAATTGACGACGCTGCGTTGATGAACGGATTGAATCAAATGGTTCCTTTAAATAGAGAGAAAGAGAAAGAAAAACTATATAAATATCATTATTGACTAATTAATACACTTAATCTTAACAGTAAACATTCAAATACAACATTATTCATCTAGTTAGAGGAAAAAAAGAGAACAGAACTAAAAAATCATAGTATTTGTACCACCATAGTATTGTAAATGTAGAGAAATCTCAGGTGAGCATATCTGTTTTTTAAAAGAATATTCAGATGAAATATACCTCAGCTACGCTTAGATAATCACTTCAGAATCCTACAAAAACGTTTTTAATCTGCGTTAAAGAGTCGTAAAAATCCTACTTTCATAAAAAATTTGTCCACTTACAAGGGACACATTCTCGAGTATCCACTCGCTTTTTTCTTGAAACCTCCTTGATTGTCGGTTATGTTTGATGTTAATCACCAATATGTTGTTCATTTTAATCTATGCGACTTCTCGAGGTGGATCTCTGAAAATTAGTCTATAACGACTTGCTTTAAACTCCATGATGGACGATAAGTCCAGTTTGCAAAGATTGTGGAGTTACTCTTAGACTACCGCACAAGTTTTCGATGAATTACAGAAAATTTATCGTAAAAAGAAATTGTTAAGTTATATTTATGCAAGAAATGAGATAGTTAATTTGATTATGATAAAAAATAACCTGTAATCAAGTAAGTTTCAAGGAAAATCTGTTTAGTCATTTGAGAATTGTCCCTAGTTAGTATTCAATATTAATTTGTATCACTTACCGCAAGATCATCTAAATCTAATGTTTCATTAATAAATCGACTATCAAATGTCATATTTACATCTGAGGGAGCATCTTTCAATGAGCCTTGTGATTCAAGACCATTATGATGTTTTTTATTATTTGTTTGTGATTCTGATTCTAAATTTTCACATTTTTGCTCTAAACGATTTATTTCAAGAACATAACGTTGACGTTGTTGACGTTCAGTTTGTAATTCATCTTCGAGTTCTTTTAAACGTTGTATCGATTGATCCGATGTAGTCGTATCTGTGTGTTGAAAAAAATTATAAAAATAACAATGAAAATTTTGTTTATATGTACAAATAGAATTTTAACATTTTGTTATTTATTCGTTAATTTTACCTTGTATGTGTTTTTCTAAACGTTTAATATCATTTGTTTTTGTATCTAATTCAACTTTGAGAGCTGATAATACGTCTGCATGTTGTATGACTAGTTCATCTTTAAATAATTTCAATTGTTGATGATCTGAGCGTACTGCTTGATTTTCATGACGTAAACGTTCAATTTCAGCACGTAGTCTAGAAATAGAAAATGTTCTATCTAAAGTGAACAAAGAAAGATTGAAATTATATTTACTGAATATTTTCTTCTTCAACTGTTGTTTGTTGTTTAACATTTTGTTTCAATTCTTTATTAGTCGCTTTCAATTGATCAAATTCTTTACGTAAATGATCCAAGTCATTTTCTTTAGATGCTAAACGTTCTGTTTCACGTTTCTAAAAATCATATAATATATATATGTCGAAACAATTTTATATGTGTGTGTGTATGTCTATTGATACCTGTTCGTCAATTTTTTGTTGTAAAGTAATAATTTTATTTTCTAATCCTTTATTTAATTTTCGTTGATGTTCAACTGATCGTTGTTCAACTTTTAATTTTTTAACCATTTCTATTGCTTCTCGTCGACGTTGATGAGCTTGTAGTAGTAGAATTCCTCGTTTAATAGTATTAAATCGACGTCTACATAACCACATTCGTACACGAGATTGAAGAGTGACAACACTTCGTTCAATAAAACGACGTCGAATATTAGTTCTCACCAAATAGCCACGACCGTACGTCTAATAAAATAATCATATACTTAGACATTAAATTATCGTTTTACTATTAAAAACTAGATACCTGTAGTTTTATTATTGTCGCTTTCAATTTCTCATACTTTCGTTTTTGCATTATCATACGCCATTTTGATTGAAAAAATGTTATTGCACGAGTACGACGAATTAAATCAGCACGTCTAAAACGTGAATGAGAAATGATTCAATGAGTACACTAAGCAAAGATGTGTAACAACGTAAAATCACCATCAGCTATTCTTTAGTTCCACTCAATAAAAATATATGTGATAAACAGAACACTAATTTCACAACAGTATTAGTCTTACCTTCTAGCCACATAGCCTCTAGCCAACATTTGTAATTTCGAAATTGTTTTTTTAATGAGTAAATATCGTTTTCTCTCTCTATAACCTCTATAAACTGTTTGAATTCGTATAATACACATTTTTAATTTTTCTGAACGTAATTTTTCTAAATAAGCCACTTGACCAGCTCGAAAAAATATTTTTGTATTACCAAATTGAAATTTATCAGGATCCTAAATCGTAAAATAATAAATTCTCTCTTTCTCTTTTTTTTTCTTCTATTTCTTGCTTTATATCTTACTTGAATTAATTTTTTTAAAATATTTTCACACGTTTTTCGATAATTTGTTCGATCGATCAAAACTGATTTTGCTAGCAATCGATAACGTTGAAAAAAATCATGATACGTCCATCTAAAAGATAAATAAGAATAAAAAGTTCAAAAACGAGATTAGACAGTATTGAAAAAACATACCTTGATGGATAACCAGCTGCACTTATTCGAACTGTTTCTAACACACCACATGCTCGTAATTGTTGTACGGCACGTCGTGGTTCAAATCTAAAGATTAAACATAAATAATAGACAATATACAAAATGTAAATAAGTAACTCACGTAAATGCTGCTTTGCTATCGTTTGGTTTAATACATCTTACGTAATGCGGTTCTGTTGAATTTAATGCCAACATTAAATTTGTCAATGATTCACGAAACTTTAACATAAGAAAAAAATGTCTATTCATTCGATTTGTTTGTAGAAAATAGAAACGATTTGTTAGAGAGTGTTCAAGAAGAAAATTAATTAAAAATCAATAAGCATGTCACTCTCTTGTTATGCTATGTGTAATAGTTAAACAAGTGATGTGAAAAATGGAATGTGTGGGAACGTTCCGTTGGATATTAACACGTTGACTGCCAATGTATCACCGGTGATAGCTTTGTTTTTTTTTTACTCTGGCAGTCAACGTGTTAAAATTGCTGCGAACATACATGTCTTTTAGAAAACATTTTCAACAACAAAGAAATATCTCAGATGATGGTAATCTTATGCAGAGAGAGAGACAGAGAGACAAAGTATGACGAATAAGCATGATGAAAGTAAGATATCAAAACTAAGAAATTTTTTTGATGACTGTGTCTTGTAGAGTAAAAAGTTTTCTGCAAAATAACTCTGCACTTTCCATCTTGAATCCGTATTCAAATAAAAAATGCTTACTTTACGTACCACTACCGATACTGGTACCGCGTATCAGAAAAATGTTTGTTCTACAAAACTAAGTCATCAAAAAACTTTGATAGTTTGTAATTTTCAGTCAATCTGATTCAGAAGAAGAGAAAAATGTACCGGTAAATACTGATACATGCCTAATGAACACTAATATTGTATTTAGATTCACTGTCAATACTTATCTGTAGAAATTGCTTTTTTATCAATGTTTCACAAAACTTTTTATTTTTGATACCTGCTAAATTAACCGATCTTTTTCTCACATATCACTCGACAAGCAAATTTTTTTCCTCAGATTTTGGAGATTTTGAGTTGTTCTGTAAAATCAAAAAAGGTTTATTGAATTTTCAGCAGGAAGAGAAATATCAAAAGCGTTGCAAGTTAAGCAAAGATGGATACAAAATGACGAAAGTAGCATTTTCTACTAATAGTAAAATGCAATTTTTTCAGCTCTCGCAGCATCAGTCAAACATGTGTGTTTTGCCTCAGAAGTTATGATTTTTTACTGTTCTACAAAGTTTATATAATCTGGACGTTGGCGATGGCACTTATATATCGTAGAGGATTTTAAATGGATACACCCGTGTAAAATAAATCTGATTTTAAATAAAATTGCTACTATGTGAGCCGACTTTATTGAATGCCTAAGTGCACGGTATAATATGTAGATGATTGAAGCACTTTTAAGCTTGTAAATGATACAACTACACCTGCTGACATAAGCAATCTGCCACTGTCTCCGATAAAACATATATTTAAGGAAATATTCATCTTTCTGAAACAAAACACTAGATCACCAACAAACATAATAATTCAACTGCGAGAAGATTGAATGATTAATCAAATATCATCAAGTGTTTTTCAAATTAGTGTCTTATTATGTGAATATTTTTTTCAAAAAATAATTCACACTACAAAATACTCAAAAGAGGAATATTTGTGAATATCAAACTTTTTGTGAAAGTATACAACAAATAATTGTTAGTTGTTTGTGTACGTAACGCACAAACACATCTCAAGTATTCAGTACAAACCTGTGAACCAAGTGTAGGTCGCTAAATTATACAGAAATAATAGAAACATGCACCACGGTTATACTACGCTCTTAATCACGATTAGCTTAATTATAATTACTTTTCCAGTGTAATCGAGATCTTAATTGTAATTAACATACGTCTAACTGTGTTAAACTTCGGACCGACATATTCTCGAATAAAAAACGTGTTTTTAATCATTTTCTCTTTGAAACAACTTCTTTTTTCTTTTTCTAGCCACAATACATAAGACTCAGTTTTCTCAAACAGTGTAAAACTTAGCTACGTTTGCCTGTACATCAAAGTATTTATACTCTCATTAATCATATTACGGTTATAAAGTATTCGTAATCGCGCTTAAGAACGAATCAATCTAAAATTGCGGTTACACGAGAAAATTTTTGTATCGTAATTATTTTCTAATCGTGATTAAGAGCATAGTGATGTCCGTTTTTTTACTCTCATTTTGTCTTCTAACGCACAACAAGATTTACAATGAGTATTCTGATAACTCAATAACAACAGAGAGAGTTTGATTGAGTTTTTTTCTTATTTGAAACTAATATTAACGATTTGATATCTGAACTAGACCTGTGACAGTTCATAGTTCCTTGTACTGCAGTTTCTCGATAACGGGAGCGGTTTTTCAGTTTCCGTTCTGAACTAGGAATGATTCATCAGTTTACGTTTCTAGAAACGAAGAACGGTTCACCAGTTCCAGTTTCTACGAACGGGAATTTACAAGTTCCCTTTGAACTGAAAACTGCTCAGTGTCCTTTAGTGATTTGTTGACATATTATGTATTCCATGTCGCAAACATAAATTCGCCTCACTTTCAAGGAGTTCTTATATCCGGGTTAATCCTCCAGGAGGTAGCTATTTGCCTCGCGAAGTTAGTTTAAATTACCCCCAACCACAGAATCCCACTAAGTAGTAAAGTAGAAAAAGAATATATTCATATATATTTTAAATTTTTTCTACTTTACTACTTAATGGGATTCTGTGGTTGGGGGTAATTTAAACTAACTTCGCGGGGCAAATCCCCTGGAGGATTAACCCGAATATAAGAACTCCTTGAAAGTGAGGCGAACTAGTTCTCAATGCTTAATTCAGTGATCAACCTATTTGGTAATAGGGGGCAAGTTGGTACCACATACTCCTGGGTTCATTTTTTCAAGAATCTGCGATAAATCACGACCCAAAAATCATAAAAGGGTATGTCCTAATTCCAGGCTATGGCAACTACGCACACTATGATTTTGGATAGAGTATTGTGAAAGAGTAGAACATCACCTTAAAGTTATTAGACTTCCCCAAGAGAGTAGGATGGAGTAGTCCTATCTTTTGGCCTTGTTAGGGTGCTAACCTTAACTTTAAGGTTTATCTATGAGTCTTCGCCCGATTGGGGTATGTCTCTAAAAATGTGCATATTTCAAGCTTAGGCTACGGACATTTTATTCACCTAACTTACCCCTTAGTAACGAAAGTAACTCTAGTGAGATGCTGAATATCTAACGATCCGTGGATCGCCTAACTTGAACTGAGGTAGGTCAAAGATTTCGACCGATGAGCGCAATCTTAATAGATAGATCCTCTATGATTCCCACATAGCAGATCCGAGGGATTTTACCCCTCAAACTATTGAACTTAGGTGATTTTTCTCCCTTATGGACGCATAAGGATATACCTAAAGTTTATTATTTGGGTGGATCTAAGGACTGCTTAGACCTGGAGGGATTAGGGGTCACCCTGGTTAGTGTTTACATAATCCTTTATTCAGCCTATTCCCATTTTCTATAAGTTGTTCAACGAAGAATGAGTATTGAAAAGAGGTATGTTCAAAGCAACTCCCAGATTACGTGGTAGACTTTGCTGATTGAATTTAGTTCGTTAGTTCTTAAGATTTTGATCTATCAACTAGCAATACCAGCTACAAGTGTAGCTAGCGAAAGTACATTTTCGCAAGCTAATAATTTTACAAGGAAAAATCAACTATCACTAACTTCACCAACAACGACAATCTCTATGTTTTTGAAAGAAAGAGTATGAATGTTGGTAGTTTTTACTATTTTGATTGTTAGTATCTCTGTGAAATTTTGCTCAGACACAAGCACGGAAAGGAACGACATCAGATAAACCGTTGTATTCATATTGAACCGTAAAATACACTAACATACTAAAAAAGATAGAACGCTAGTAGATTAGAAAAAGAAGCTCAAGTATATCATACAGTTTCCAGTTAAAAAAGAATTGTAGTTCTCGTTCGCAGGAACTGGAACTGGTGAGCCGTTCCATGTTTCTGGAAACGTGAACTGCTGAACCGTTCCTAGTTCAGAACGAAAACTGAAAAACCATTTTCGTTCATTGTATGCGAACCGAAAAACAGCGAACTGTCACAGGCTTATATCTGAACTTGACAATAATCTCCATTTATATTACATACTTGAGAGCCAACTGTTTTTTTTCTTGCTGCTTGCGTTTTACTGTTTGCTTGTGCTGTGCCAATTTTTTGTACCGTATAATTTTTATTATTTTTTTGTGATATTACTGGTACATCATCACCTTCCAAAAATAATTGAACAACAAACTCGATCTAAATAATAAATAAAAAGAAAAAGTCAAATAATAGAGTAAAACTATTATTATCTATGTCCTACACAAAATACATACTTCACTTTCTTTTAACATTTTTAATTGATCTTCTAAAACGGTATCACGATTTTTTTCTAAAAACCCATCAATTGAATATTCAACTTTTTCGGCAAAATGATTAATGATAAATGTTGATGATGATAATTTTTTTGTAAGAAAATCATTGTGTTTTCCATGTTGATTAATTATTTTCCTTAACCAATTTTCATCCGAACCTTTTGGCATCTAGAGAAGAAACAACACACAACTATCTATAAATTCGATTATTATCATTTTGATCAAAGAGACGAGTGTGATCAATTTTTCTTTGAATGACAAATTACACTTTATTCATATCTACTAGTATATCAATGATATTAGTACTCAAACAAATATAACCCCTTTAAGGGTACTACTCCTCTCTTTTTTTCCCCTCTTGAAAACCGCGGAAGCCGATGTTTTGACATGTATATCGCGAAACTTATTCATGGCGAAAGCCGATGGACTGACATGTATACCAGAGATAGAACATCGAAAAAGAAAATCAATGTATTTACTTCAAACTCTATCTCAGATTCTTTATTTTTCTTTGCGAAAAAGATTCTTTCCTTCTCGAGATATTCAAAAATACTAAAAACACTGTATAAAAAAACGGTTTTTTATGTTAGAAACCTTCTCATGTCGAAAGTTGAAATCGAAAATGCTAAAAACATAAACAAACCTGAAATAGGCTCTAAAGTATCTGTGATAAAAATTTAAGCTCAATCGGACCATGTTTTCGATGGGTCGTAATGTGACCAGATCGACGGGACTATCGAAAAAACGTATAATGTGAAAAACACATATTGTACACAGGGCTTTGTTTTTCAGGGCATTTGCAGTGATGTTTATATCTTCACGAAAACCCATCAGAAAATTGTGGAAGACGTCTTATTTTGAAGAGTACACTTTCTTCTATCATGCTATTTAAAGAAAAAATTTTGAATATATAGGAAAGGAGAGAAAATTTTATGAAACTAAAAAATTCAGATTTTCTAGGCTTTGAAGAAAAAAATTAAAAACTTCATAATTTATTCAAGAAAGGTCATAGTGAGCTGGGTGTGGTCTCATTTTATAACACAGACTTTTCTCTACATTAGATTATATTCAGCTCAAAATGAAAAGTTTTTTTCAAAAAAGAGAGATGGGGGCGTACCCTTAATGGATAGATAAATTATGAAAACTTCTATCACCTACTTTACATTCTTCATCTAATAAATCAAGTATACCAAGTTTACTCTCAATAAGATCAATACACGGTTGGTTATCTTGAAATTGGATAAATGACCAAGTTATTTCTTCTTTCATATATTCTTCTTGTTCTAATTTAAATACGTGCTAAAAATAAAATCATTTTTGTTGTAAATATTGTTATCTAGTTAGAGATGGTAATACATAGTTCAAAAAAAACTCAACTAGTAAAAATGAAAATGTTCTTTTTAATACCTGACAAAATTGTTGTTGTAATTTTTCATTTGCATAATTGATACAGAATTGTTCAAAACTATTCATTTCAAATGTTTCAAATCTATAAAGAACAAGAAAACAAAGTATAAAATTTTGAAGTTCATACTAAATTGTTCCTTTTTTATCATCCTTACCCATAAATATCCAATACTCCAATGAATGATTGTCTAGTTCCAATATATTCTAATGACTTATTGATTTCTTCTACTATCCATGTGAATAATTGAGAATACATATGTTTTGCTAATGCATCCCGAGAAAATAATGCTTGTTGTAAATTTAAAGGTGTATTTACAACTTCAATGCCAGTTTTCAATCTTTTACTACATAGCCATGTTCTCATACGATTCTCATCTATTTTTAACAATGAACAAAATGTTGAAAATGGTTTATTTGAATCCTTTAAAACAAAACAAAATCAAATCAAATATTTTCTATTTGATCAATGATGCATATTTTCGATATTATCAAACTAAAAACGTACTTTAATGTACGTTGATTCTTTTTCAGCTTCATTAATTTCAACATTTCCAAGATGTAATATTGCTGATAATACACGAAATATCAACATTTGACTTTTATTATCGATACCTAACAGTAATAGTGCTTCTCTTGTTTCATTGAACAATGCTGCATCATTAACACCTTTGATTGTGATTGCACGACCTTCAGCTGTATAACGAAATTGATCAGCTGGTACTAAAATTAAATAGAATAATTGAATATATAAGATTTTTCAAGAAACTATAGATTGACAAAAAAAACACTCAGACAAGCTTTCTATCTAGAGTTTTGGACGATAATTAATAAAGAGATGAATGATTATCTTTGACAATTTTTATCGGACTATTCAAAATAACAACAAGTCTCTCAGACATCTTGTTCTAGTCATCAGGCAAGATATTTTTTTCCATTTACATACATAGCGAAAGTATTTTCATATCTTGATGTTGATATTGTGTACATAATTGATAAAATATGTGATAATTTCTTTCGTCTGGTGCTTGATAGATCACTCTAAATATAAAACATTATTATAAATAATTTGAATATTATAAGATAACTACAGATACCTTGATTTTTCAAGTAAATATGTTCTCATACTCGCTCCACATATATGATTTTTAAGAAAACCAATTTCAATATATTTTCCAAAACGTGAACTATTATCATTTCGAATTGTTTTGGCATTTCCTATTGCCTAAAATTAAAATAACTCATGTATTATTGTATGATTAAAAATTCATTTAAAAAACAACAATGTACCTCCATTATTGGACTAGATGCTAATACTTTCTTTTCAATTTGTGTTTCTTCTGATAAACCACCAACATTTGCAAAATAACGCATGGCATATTTAGCTGATACAGTTTTACCTTAAAAGAAAAATTAAAATTCATATTGTTTGTTTTAAAATGAAAAAAATTCATTTAAGAGATGAAAACATACCAGCTCCCGATTCACCCGAAACAATAATGGATTGATTTTTATTGAAACTAAATGGAGAAGAAAACACAAGAAATGAAATATTTTAGAATGAGAGAGAGAGAGAGAGAGAACAAAAAAAATCACAATCTTTATGATACACACTTGACCATCGATTGATAAGCCAATTCGGCTACGGCAAATATATGTGGTTCTAAGAGTTGAACATCTTGATCTCGATATAATTGAATTGTATCACTTCCATAAATATTCAAATTTTCATATGGATTTATAGCAACTAGGACAATGCCACATTTTGTATATATCTGACTTTTATTGAAACGAGATTCCAAATTATATAGTACTGATAGTATAAAACAAAAAAGTGATTAATGAGTATAAAAATTATCTATGATTCAATTTTATCATACCTTCTGGTTCATTAAGATAGCTGAGTGCTGTTAAATCTTTTTGTCCAATTAAAATATCCGGATTTCGTAAAGGTGGTAAATCATTATTTGATTGAACAGTAATAATTTCCTGCTAAAACAAACAAAATATGATTTTCAACTGTTTTATCTCAAATATAAATGAAATATATCAGTACACACTTTTCCATTTTCTCCTTGGACAACTAATTTTCCTGCACCAGTATAATCTTCACTAACGGTAACTGCTCTCCATACACGTTCACGATCAGGTAACCATATACGAGCACCCTAAAATGGATAAATAAAAATCAATTTAAAATAGAAATATTAAAATTATAGTATAAGATATGCCCAATTATTTAACTGCAAAACATTTTGTTTAACTATAATGAATAATATCTCATCACCATCATCATCACAGCAAAAGCCAAACAAAAAACATAATGATACATGTAGATGTTAAGTTTACTTATAGTTAGCAAATTTTGATACTTCCTACCCTGTTCAAAAAAAATATGGTTATTCGTTTATTTGAGATTGAGAATTTCTCTCAACCAGTATACACATGTGAATACTAGTAGAAAAAAGTCTCAATATTGTCATGCGTTAAAACGGTATGAAAATATCAAAAGTTTGGGGATGGGTTTCTAACACTACTCGAGATAGAGCACTGCATTATTTTGTTGTACATTCTTTGTTTTATTTAAGATTGAAAATAACAATTAAAATTCATGTTGTGACATAATTTAAAAGATGGAAGTCCATAGATACGCAATCTAGCAGACACATGACTAAAAAAATGACAGAATTTGTCTCTACTATGACAACTATGTCCATTTAAGTTTAAATCGTCTTTTACAAAATCTCGAAAAGTCATTTTTTTTTGTGAAAAATTTAAAATTCAAATTAATTTCACACAATTCGTTCATGTGAGAATGAAAATCAGCGTATGACATGGAAAATTATTGAAAACCTATAGAAAGTCTCACGTAAAAAGTGTCAACATGTATAAAATTCCGTGTTTTTCACTAAAACTAAATATATCACTACATATTCTGTTGAACTCCTCTTCTTCTACCCATCCCCATTCGATCTGATTGATCATGTCTAATATCAGCTAGACCACAGCGCATTGGCTGATGATTTCTCGTACGAAAAGAAAAAAATGTATAAACGTTTTTCAAAGTAATAGTAGGAAAGAGTTTATTTACCCATAAAAGTTGGTTAAACAAAATATAGAGAGTAATCAACACTTTTCACATGTAACATTTTTTTCTTCATAAAAAGTTAAACGTGAAAGTTAATCCATACGTGTTAATCCATGGCGATATATAGTGTAAAATTAAAGCAAAAAACAATCTAATATAATGCGTTCTATCAATAAAACTAGAGCAAACTCATGCAAAATAGCATATCTAATAAAAATTATATGCAAATTTTACAAACTTTGATTTTTTTATTTTAATTGATAATTTTTAATTTTGGCCAAAAGCAATACAATACAAAAACACGTCTATTATTTCATACATATCTTAATCGATGATTATTGCCTTGTCAAAAAAATGTGAAAGAAATTAATACTAATGGAAATTGCAAAATTTTTCGGATAATAAATAAGGAAGCAATGCGTTTGTGTATATATTTAGAGCAAATTTAGGATGCAAAAATTTCTTTTAACTATAATCTAACCTTGAACATTTTTTTGTTTATTAAACAATAAACAGACAGACAGACAGACAAAAACAAAAACAAAAATAATCCGATACTACAACTCAAGGAGTTTTTTTATTTGAAACATTGAACATAACAAAAGACATTACGAGACTAAAACAGTATATATGTATGTATTAACAATTTTATTTTAATAGAAAATTAGATAAAACTTACCTTCGTGTATAATTCATATATTAGCATAGTTTGATTTTAGAGAAAAACCTGAGTCTCAATAATAACAACGACATAAGCGAATAAAAGAAGATAAAAAGACAAAAATCTAAAATTAATTGAAAACATATTTATATAGACACTTGTCTATTTTAATATAGATCGAGAAAAGTTGTTCTCGCTTCTTGTATAACTCTTCTTCCTCCTTCATTTTAGACTTCAATAAATTTAACAAGCCGTTACTTTGTACTCTGTGCGACTTTTCCCACGTTTCTTGGATTATAAATAATTTTAATGTGTAGCAGAAAACGAATGATCGAGATAAAATAAAAGTCCAACAATCTTTTCAAAAGTGACATATACGATGACTAAAACAAAAACTATTGAGATTTTTTAGATTCAATTATTTAATTCGAGTCTATACAGAAAAAGTTGGATTACTATAGTCGAAAATTATCGTAAATTAAAAGATAGTGGTTTGTTCTGATATGCTCAAATAAAAGTTATTCTTTTTGTTTTTTTTTCTTTCGTTATGTTTGTTGTTATGTGATTAACAGCTGAGTCACTTTATTTTTTCTTTCTTTTTCGCACAGATGGTTAAGAAAGAAACTTAAGCTTTTTCGATCCAGAAGTATACAAACGAACAAAACAATACGCTCTTTTTTCTTAATTATTATAAACTACTTTTCTTAATGATTTTACTCACGCATGTATCCTCAACAGAGAATTAGAGAAGAAACAAATTGCTGTTGCTGCTGCTGCTGCATACAAAAAGAGAAGAAAAAAAGGTAGAATGTCAGTGTGATAGAATTGCATTGTATGCAATGGTAGAATTTCATTGTGGTAGCTGAATAGTTTGTTTTATGATGGATTATCTATAAATTTTACATAGATAAAATGAAGAAAATACTGTTTCATATCAATATCATTGTAGAACAAGTCTTTATTAAGAATCTCAATGAAACATTTCAACATTATTCATCAACTGTATGTTGAAGAAGAACGGAAAAAAAATTTATTTAACTGATGACGTAGTGATAAAAATATTTAACAAAATAAATTTTTCTCATCCAAATATGACTAATATCAAATTTCTAAAATAAATTTTATACTCATAGACAGCAATAAAGAGAATGATTTTAGATAGTCTAGTGTAATTATAAATTAAATTCAAGTTATAAAATTCAAAATTTATTTCATGAAAAAGAAAACGAAAAGAAAATGAGACACATATATTGAACAAAAATAATATTTCTATACAATAATTACAAATAACATAGTAAAGATTAATGAAAAAAAATAAAACAAAGATCTGACTATTCTTTTTCATTTTCATTTCGTTTACGTTTTCGTGTTGTTAAATTTGTTAAATCATTCATATTATCACTTATTGTTGTTCGATTTGTACCGGGTGCCACCATTTTTTTTGTTTCATTTTTTAATAATCGATCATAATCTAGAAAATAAAAACACAAAAAAATATTAAACGACTTGATTAAGTACTAGAATACACAAATTTTTCGGTAGATAAATAAGGCACACATGAAATCATTTTTATCACTAAAAATTGACTTGGGATTCGTATCACGAAAAAACTTAAGTCAAAGTCTAGACTTAAGTGTATAAAATTAGCACGTAAGTGCACATAACGAAGACTTAAGTTTTTTTGTGATACAGCTTCCTGTAGCCAACTAACCGACATTTGAGCGATGTCTTATACAACATACAGATACATCCTATCGCAATTTTGAGCTTCTTTCAACTCATCTGCTTGCATCAAATTTAGATTACACTTTATCAGAATGACTTTGTATATCAAAGATTATATTAAACTAATTTTCATCTTATAGATTTTCAGCATTTAATTGTCCTCTTTTCGCTTACTCTTACTACACGCGTCTCTCTCTCTGTCTCTCTCCCCGACGAGAAACGAAAAAATATATTTGATTTTATTGCCTGCAAGAAACTTCATATTGAAACGTGTCAGTTGTCGATCACTCAAACATGATTGGCTGTTTGGAGTCACTTATCATACCAATACCTAAAAATTAATCTTACCTAGAAAACCCATTTGTCCAATGGCGAATAATTGTTTTTCAAAATGATCAAATTTTGAAATAAATTTATCATTTGTATATTTTGCTATATCTTCACCACTAGATGATGTTAAATGAAATGAATAGTCCATAATTGTTCGAAAACGTTGTTGAAATGTAGATAACATTGTCATTGCCACATCTTTCTTCTCATCTTGATCAAAATTCAGTTGTAATAAATGTTTGCCATATCGATAAAAATTAGGTGATAATTTATGTAAATCGACAATAGTAGAATCAGCATGAAATATTTGACGTTGTATATTTTGAAAAATATAAGGAAGTTCAAATGTGGAAAAATTTGTTTTTGAATTGCAAATGGAATAGACCATCCAATAGGGAAATTCCAATTTTGTTTGAGCAGATATGGGTGCAGACACATTTGACTCTTGTTGATCATCATTTGATTTTGAACTACTACCACTATGCTCCAAATATCCGAGTTTAGGTACATCAACTAATAATTGACATTTGATACGTTCTTGTGTTGATAAAATATCATCAATAGAAAAATAATCTTCATATTGTTGAGATGTTGAAGTTGTATTTGAAGAAGCTGATGCAGATAGACGATTTGAACTTGCAGATAATGGAGTACGATTACTCATCTGAAAGAAATCAAAATATAAAAAAACGTTCTAGCCATATTCGTTGAATACATCATCATATACATCGTTTAAAACTAAACAATAGTTATATTATTAGCTAAACAATATTCAGTTTTTATTTATAAAACATGGGAGTTATTGACTCAAAGTAGAGTTATCAACAAAAACGTCAGTATATGATACAATATATTCATAATAAGAGGATGAAACAAAATAGTTAGCACTATCATAGTGTTTGAAAGAGAAAACATGGGAATGAAAAACAATTTATCACATATATACATAGTGATGTTTTCTCATTTTTGTATGTCACTGTTGCTGACTCTCATCGGGATCGATAGGTCCCCTGCTTTACAAAGAAAAATCTATCTACTAGTACTTTTATTTAACTTAATCCCCTATTGTACAACATGTTAAGAGGCTGATCTTGTTTAATGTCAATATTATTCTTACTTCAGAGGTGATTCAAAAACAAATAAATACGAACAAAATCAAACAAAAAAATGACTGCTAATCACAAGTACCAAAAAAATAAATCTCGGAAAGTAATTGGTTTTGTTATATTAATTTGTTCCGTTTAATATTTCATATAGAACAAATACAACCGTCAATCGTTGACTGTATGTTGAGATTAGAATTTCTAAACTTTCACCTTTATCCATATGAATTCTAGTCCGAAGAACCATATTGTCGCATTAACTTATCATTCAATATGGGTAATGTTAACTACCACCCGCATAAAAGTGTTGCATTTTCTTCGGTAATCTTCAAGTTACAGTGTTTCAAATAGTTAAAGCAATTTACTCCTTTTTTGTTCACGAATTTCCTATGTCTATCACCTTTAGATTGATTAAAACGTTTTAGTATGCACGTCAGCGTTCACCGTTGAATTTGACTGATGCCAGATTAAACTCACGCTCACCAGATCAAAGTAGCAATGGGAAATGTAATCCAAGACTTTGACGCATTTTCATCGTTACGTGTACCACTCACTTCCTCACTCACACAATACACGAGACGTTATTATCTTTTGCATATTTTTCAATGAATATTTATGCTCTGGGGTCGTATTAGTCTTAAGTCAGGCTTAAGCCTAACCGGGGCTTAAGTCACAGTTGTCTTCATCTTAGATTCAAACCGTATTGTAAAAAACGTTAGTCAAAGGGTGACTTAAGTCATAGAAAATATACTCTTAAAGTTAAGACCGAAAACTTAAGTCGGACTTCAATCATTGACACATTTTTTGAATAGCTGAGACATTTGACGATACGATTCGACGAAACCTTTTAAGACTGTTTAGAGAATATATATTTCGTTATTTTGTGGGTTTTTGTCCTAAGTTTGTCACTGTTGTCAACGACTTTCAAAAAGTAAACAAATCACCAACTCAAGTCTTTTCGTAATACGATTTTAGTCCCCGTCGACCTTAAACTTAGACTTAAATCAGGGCTTAAGTTTTTAGTAATAGGATCCCCGGGTACTTCAGAGGTACTTCTACAGATCGATCACACACTCACACTCACACTCCACACACACCACAGTAGGGGGTGTGATCGATCTGTAGAAGAACCGGATCCCCTGCTTGATAATTTTGAGCGAAACAGTGTATGAACTATTGCGTTGTGCATCTAATTGCCTCTAAAGTTTAGAACTAAGGATTCACCGATTTGCTTAGGTTCATTTGCAAGTCCCTAATGATAACAAGAATAATTATGTAAAATTGATGCGACAAAGTTACTTTGAGTTAACTTTCGGGTCAGTCATCTTTCTTAACACCGAGTTATAATTTTTGTATTTTTTGAACATGGCCTAAGCGATAGATTTATTTAATAACAACGAATAAAAATGTGTGAGGAAGGCCTCAAGCAATCTGTCTTAGCGTTGTATGAATAGTGTATTGATGATTAAACTGCTCATCAATCGTGATTGGAGATAACATTAACCAACAAACAATTACCAAAGAAACGAAATACAATTTGTGTTTTTGTTATAACAGATATGATTATTGCTGGAAAATATTACTGTTGCTAATAAACAACTATTTCTATAAAACGTTTCTTTGTTATATCTCCAGGGGCGTGCCTACTGGGGGGGCTGTGAAGGTGGTTACCAGCCCCCTACTTTCAGAAAAGTTTCTGTTTTGTGTTTTTCGCTCTTAAAAAAACTATCGTTTTTGAAAGAACGAAAAATTTTTTTAACAGAGCCGCAACCTTTTTTGGCAGGCGTACCTGCTAGGTACGCCCCTGTATATCTCAAAAAGGATAGAACCGATTGTGATTTAAATTAAGTTTTCTTTCCTTCATTGTTATAAGTAACGAATTGCAAAATATAAGCTCTTCTAGTTCAGTCAACGACCTGACATTTCTCCTTTGTCGCAGAAATTCCTTGTGGTCATTGATATCTTCTTTTTTATAACAATGTAAATAAATCCTTTTACACAAGTTTTTCAAATGAGTTGTTGAATGTACGAGAATTGCGTTGTCAAAAGCCTTCTTCACTGAGATGATACGAACGGTATCTTTCTAGTGTACCTCATCCGCTACAAATGCCTCTCTGTCAATTCAGTTTTTGTCCTGGATTTGCAACAATTCATGTTTAGGTTTATGTATGATCTTATTCCTCGATATAATAATGAATTGAACATAGTGAGTAATGTGGAACATTTCTTGCATTGAGTTACAGATGTCTATAAAATTCATAAGAAACTGGTACTCGATCTGAACGAAAATGATCAGAACGTCGACAAGGATGTTCACATTTTGAATTCGGATAAGTGGAACCTTACTAACGGATTCCTTATATCAATTCCAATTGATGCAAAGAAAAGTGAGTAACAAGCGAATCAAAATAGAAAATACGTCCATAATACTTTCGCCTTGATAAATAAAGTGTCGAATCAGGAATAATAGCAACTCATCTATCTTCTCTTTATCATTCGATCACATTCACAAACGAAAATGCTAATAGAACGTTACCATTTCTCGACATTCTGATTATGCGTACAGACAATGGTTTTCAGACTTACGTACACAGAAAACCGACCTATACTGGTCTTATAAGCAGATGGGATAGTTTTGTACCAAAAATGTATAAACGCAATGCCATCTCTTCAATGGTATATAGAGCTGTTAAAATATGTTCGAGACACAAATTCTTGGATGAAGAACTAGAATTAATCAGAAAAACAGCTACACATAACGGTTATTCACTTGGATTCATCGAGTCTATAATTAGAAAACGATTGAATATCGAATTCGCACCTCATATTAATAAAAATCATGAGCAAACTACAAAGAATGAGAATATTGTATTCCATATTATGGTGCCGTTAGTAAAACATACTCCAAAAGGATGAAAGCTGCTGTTTTTATGATTTATCCACAAAAAACGAAAATTAGAGTAGTATATAATACGAAATCAAAACTAGGAGCCGGCTTCAGTACTAGAGACAAAATACCGAATGAGCTTAAATCAGGAGTGGTTTATGTATCTACTTGTTCTATATGTGAACCAAAGTACGTCGGTAAAGCAGAGAAATATAAATCCGTCCAAGCTAAAACAGCTACGTTAAAAACAGTAATAACAGATAGAAAACAATCTGTAGGATCACTAACTCGATCTCATATCGGAAAACTCTCCCCATCAATAAAAAAAATTTGATGAGGTCAATGTTGAAGAAGTTCTAACTTTAGCCACTGTGAAAGAGTCAAAGGTATACGAGTCTAAATCTACCATAGCAAAACATTACAAAGAAACAGGACACTCGTTATAAAATTGTGCTAAATGAATAACACATATATCGCCTTTTAGTTAAAGAGTCGGTTTTTATTTGCTCATGAGTCTTGTTCGTAATGGAACGGACAGAACCACTCCATTATGCGTATTTCTTACTGGTCTACAAAAAATGCCGAGCGATTATATATGATACTACTCAACGGATCAAAAGCATACACAACAACTTCAGACAATGATTTCTTTCGGTATTATATCTCCTTTTTTTTTCGATATATTAGAAATTAAACAATAGAATGAACGGTATCCACAGAAAGCACTAGAATTTTGCTTATTTTCTTTTTTGTTTTCATCATGCATTCAGTATATGTCGGAGTATGAGATTGAAATTTTAACAAATTCTGAATATGCCTAGGGGAGATTAGAATTCTAATTTCAACTGGTTTAGATTGGAATTCGAACATCAATTAGTTGCGACATTAATGATTCTAAACTGGATCAGCTAGGATTCGAATGTCACATAGAACTGGATAAAACCGAAATTCCAATGTGAACTGGCAAACTGGATTAGGTGAATTTAGAATTTAAATTTATTCTATAGAAAGACAAACTAATTTTTCAATAAAAATATATTAAAACTATTTTTTTCGAAAAAATCAACTTTAGGATATTTTTTAATACTGAATTCGATTCTAACACTGTTCTTTTTAATTATCACCGTAATAGAGATGCTCAGTTGATATGATTTATTCAACAAAACATAAACAACCAATGATAGTTCATGAAGATTTATATGAAAAAATTCATTTTGTCAAAAATTTAAATTTTGGTTTATACTCATCAGAGTTGAATATCTGATCATGCATTGTACATTTTATTGTGTATTGACAACGAGAATCCAGTGCAAATATTTCTGTCTCTACTACTGTATATAATCATTTTTTAATGTCCACTCTAATGCTTATCTAAACAAATATATGGAATTTAACCATGATCATTTAATAATAACCGCGGAGTGCTGTTTAAATCAAAAAATTTAGTACATCGTTTCGCTGTATGTATGAATTGAATATTTTGGTAACTGATCGAACATCTGTAGTATGACTAGACAAAAAATAGTCTAATTTTGAATAGGCATTACATGCATACAGTACAGCGTCATATTCAATTATCTTTTCTTTTATTTTGTATAACGTAACTATTTTTATTTGCATTTGATTGTAAATGCACTCTGTTATAAATATTATGTAAATAATAATATCTGATTTTGTTGACTATGTTTAGCTGTTTATAATTCATCAATTCATTGAATATTTTTGACTTTAAATATTATTCAACAAATAATCTTGTTCAATTACATGATGAATTTGTCTCTCTATCTTTCTCCAATTGTTTTAAATTTTTAATGACAATACTACATCCTGAAATATAATCAAGTATGTAGTAGTACAGATGATGATATCGTATCCATGAAACTTTTAAAGTTCTTTTCACTTTGATCTGATTGGTTATAATCATCTGCCAGAAATAATGATCTTTTGTGAAGTTATTGTTTGAAGTAAAAATTTTTATGATATAATTAATAGAATATAAAGATCTAAAAAAATAGAAAGTATGTCAGAAATAATAATATTCATATAGTTGAAATATCAGTAGAGAATGTTAACATTTTTTCATCTCATAAGATATTGACTTCTTCTTATATACTAGATACAACTTGAAAATGAGATCTAAATACTCTTTAATGACAAAAGTAAATTAAAAAGAAAAGAATCCATACGGAAGTTTAGTTTTTATTATATTTTTTTTAAACAAATGAAAACACAATCACCTAATAAGTAAAACAATATTTTCTTATTACAATCAAATATTATTCGACGATGTTAAAATGTCAATAGCTGTTTGACAACGACGACGAATTGTTGGATTATTTTCTTGTTCATCAACGGGTCGATTATTTTTTAATACAAAATGAGATAAGAATAATCTAAATAAGAATAAAAATATGAACAATAAATCTATTATTATAGAATAGTAATATTTTTGTGTTTTACCTGAATGCATCTTTCATAAATGATAATTTTTCTGTACTAGCAACTCTTTGAAATATTTCTTTTAATGTTGAATCATCAATTTTAAGAAATAAATTATAAAATATTTTAACAAGAAATGTACGAGCAGAACGAGTTAATTCAATAAAATTAAAATTCTAAAATTAACAAAAAAACAAAATTCGTACAGAAAAAGTAAAATTATCAAAAATCTGTTTTGATGGCTAAAAATCCGATACGGAACACACTTTCAGGACATCTTTAGTTTTCCTTACTTTATGTGGAACGAAAATTCGGCTCTGTATTGATTGTTAAAAGTGAAAACATTTCTCTACTAAACAAAACAATTTCGAGCTCTCTAGCACTTAAATTTAGCGAGAATTTTTGAAAATTTCTAGGATGACAAAGAGAAAAAAACGATTTTGAGATATGGTGATGCTAGTATGTGGCGGATTATTAGTGTAACTGTCATAACTTTTGATTAAAGCACCGCTGAAAGTTGGAAGACGTCAAATTTTAACGAAAAATGTTTGCAACGAGCATCATCGAAAGCCTTTTTGATTCTCACATGTTATTGAAATATTAGAATTTAGGAAAAATCAGTTTTTTTTGAAAACTTCTTCAAAAATCCTCAGAAATCATTTATATTGGCAAAACCAGCATGGATTCTGAGAGTAGACATCTTGACCTATCCAAACATGTACTTAGTTCAATATAGACATTTTAGGAAAAAAAATGTTTCTGGCGATGAGAGACCCGTTGAATAAGTATACATACCTTGAATACAGTTAAATATAACGACTGTGTTTGAATTAAATCCGATATAAGTAATGAAAAGTTGTCTAATTGATGTTCATTCATCTCTGTTAACTCTTTAAATTTATCCCATGAATGATATTGAATTGCAATCTAAAATTAAATAGAATATATCTTTAAAAGTCAATACTCGAAATTCAATAAATTGACTTACTCTAAAACGTCTATGAAAATCACAAAATTTTTGTATAATTAATGAATAATATGGATTATATGATTTTTCTTGTAAACAACAATGAACACTGACCTAAATCAAAAATATAAAAATCTGTTGTTGTTTTCTTTTAATTAGTTTTAACGCGATAATTAGATAATGTTTACTTACATAAATGATTTCTCTCTCTTGAAATTTGGATAAATTCATTTTATGAAGTTTTTGTACGGCATCATCACAATCCTAATATTAAACAAAAAAAGAAGAATAAAAAGTTGAAAAAACAATTAAACAAAAAAACATAATATTTTCATTTACCTCACTGGTCAATAATGTACAAAATATTGTCTTTCTCACATCTGTATTCATATGTTGTTTTTGTGCTAACATTAACACTTTTTCATTAAATTCATCACCATCATGACTCATACTCGTAACTTTCTCAGTTGTCACATCATTCTTCTTCCTTATATCTTCTCGTTTTTGCCATGATGAGCCAACAATCCACCATCTACCATTTGTTTGAGCTTGTAAAAAATCTATGTATGACACATTTAATTGATTTGTTAATGTTGATGTTTTTTCTTTTATAATTTGTCGATATAATCGACGTAATCGTTCTATTCTTTCTGGATCATAACCGGGTATTTTTCTTACATCATTATTTTTTAAACCTTGTATAATATCCATCATAAATTCAACACGTTTACTTGACAATTGAACATTGATATCCGTATTAGAAGTACATTTTGAACGTAACTCTTGTAAATAGAGTTTTAATGATAGTGGATCATCTTTTCTCAATAAAAATCCAACAGTTTTTAATAATAATAAAACTAATTCTAAGTGTTTTTCATTTAGATTTTTATCGTTATTCAATAATTTTCGTGCAATATCATAAATTAATTTTGTGTTGGTCATGTAAAAACTAGAAATAGAAAAGAAAATTATTTAGGATTAGCATGAAACATTGATTATGACAAAATTTGAAGAAAAAAATGAGTTTAAAATTGATTTTGTCTATTTGACACGTTATGCATCTTTCTATTAAGCCTCCTCCGTCAGAAATGATGCTTTTCGTTCAAAGAATCGGTTTTGAGATACGCACATGGGAAGATAGCCTGAAGTATCGACTTTCAGAATCTGTATCGCTTTTGGTTACAAAAGTGGTTTTTCGCGGATTATGAGCAAGTTTTCTAGGAGTCTTAAAAAATCAGGTCTTCAAATAATAGGTTTTTCGTGGATACTTATGCAATTAAAAATTTTCTGAACACACAAGATTTGTAGAGCAAACGTTTCTGATCAAAATAAGACCTCGCACAACTCTGTATGACCCAAAAAGTTACAGGCATTTTTCTACAAGTCCTAAAATCGACTATTTCATACAGCGTTTTCTCTATATAAGACTTACACCTGAAGTGTGTCCCAAGATTTTTAATAGCGGTTTGTCATAGAGAGTTCATTCTTTTTTTGTTTAAAAGAGGAAAAGAAACTACGTGGACTGACCGGTGTCGATTTTTGAATTAGATCTTAGTTTTTGTCAAATTGAGGATTTTTCGGGTTTTGGAGATTGTTGGTTGCCTGGAAAATCAGTAAAGGCTTAATTGAAAAATCGGCGCCGGTCAGTCGATGTAGTTAGGTGTCTAGTTTAAAATAAAACAAACCCGAACTCTCCAGCTTGAAGTATATTAAAAGATCTGGAGACACACTTCAGAGTCCTTTTTGGACCGTCATCTCTGAAAAACTCCTAAACCGTAAGACTTGGAGACAAAAAAATTTTTCCATTTCTGTAACTCATTGTGTCTAAAATTTATGGAAAGTTTCGTCAAGATCGGATGTACTGTGTGGGCGATAATTTCTACGGGGAAGAGGCCCTTAAGAAAGTGACTCTACATTCGAGAAAGATATTCTTCATGTCCAATGGGATGAATATATTTCATTACCTATATAGGTAAAGTATAAATAATAGAATATTATCAATTTGTTTATTATCAATTGTTGCTGTTTGTTTGTCATTAATCAATTGATCAAATTTTATTAGAAAATATTCGATAAAATACGAACCAATTTCTAATCCAATATTTGTATGTAATATTGACATTAATAAAGCGTGTTCAGCAATCATATTTTCTGGTGTCAATGATTGCTGAGATATTAAACTGTCATTGATTAATGAACATAAACATGTATTCATATTTGCACGACTATTTGTACGATATAATGTTTCAATTTCATTTAATATTGATTGTAAATTTTTTTCACTTAAACGATTGAGTTGACCTTTTAAACGACGTTTTAATCGTTCATATTCAACAGATGATGTAATACTTGTGACATCTTGACGAAGAGATGGTGGAATATAGATACCAGCTAAAATAGATAAAATAAATATAAAATGACAAATGAACGAATAATTAACATTAAGTATAGAGCTACCTTGTTGTTTAACAACATTTCCTTTAGAATCAATCGTACGTCCATATATATCTTCTTGTACAGCTTCAGTTTCACTATTCGTTTCGTTGACTAATTCATTTTCATCATCATCATCATCATCATCATCATCATCGTCAGGATTATCACTGTCATCCGTTTCTTCATTAACCATCATGTCTGATTCACTTTGATTTTCTTCATCTCTATCAAGTGTTTTCATTTCTATTTCATCATTAAATTTGACACGTGTTTCCTTAGTTGACTTATTTTCAACTTCATTATTATTAAGAACATTTGCTTTTTCAACTCGTTCTCTTCTTTGTTCTTGTTCCTGTTTTTCTTGTTCTCCTTCTTCTTCATTAGAAATTAACCATTCATTTGTATTATTAGCTAAAACAAACAAATTAATTGAACAAAAACTATTTCTCATTATTGTCAAATCTATTCACCTACATCCTTCTCCTTTTACTATTTCTTTACGTATGTCATAATCACAAAAATCAAGTAAATAATCTAGACCATCATCCACAAAACCCTTTTGATAACTTTTTCGAGTTTGTTTTATTCCTATGAGAGATAAAGAACAAAAAGAAAACAAAACATTATACTAATGAATAGTAGATGTACCTACCTAATTTTTTTTCTAATTTTTTTATTTCTAAATCTTCTTTTTCATTATCTTCTATTAAATTCTGACGATGAATTTTTTGTGCCTACAAATAAATAGTAGAAAAAAAAAATAGAATTTTCTTTTTCTAAGAAAATAATAAAACTAAAATTACTCACTTACTGGAGTTTCATTGGATTTTGATTTTTTCTTTCGCTTCTTTTTTTTCGATTTTTTCATAGTAACATCTTTGGATGTTGATTCACTTAAATGATTATGCTTGACTTCTGATAATGCCTTTAATGTTGGCAACTAAATAATCATAAGAACAAAAAAAAAATAATAACGATTTTACTATGTCTAGACATACGTACATTAGTTTTTCGTCGATGAGCATCCCGTCTTGCTTTAACAAGTTTTCGTTGCAATTGTCGACGCTCTTTACGTTTTAAATTTACGCCATTAAAAGAGGATGTTTCGTTTAAGGTATTTTGATTTTTTAAATGAGAATTATGTTTTCGAATTTTTTCGGATACTTTCATCTAAAACAAATATCAAAAGTTTATTAAAAATGAAGCATTACACTAAATTAGTATTATCAAAATAAAGTTAAACACAAGGAATTCAATTAATTTTTAAAAATGCAAATCAATACACACAAAAAAAAAACATCAAGATAATCTGTCGAACATAAACATTTTATAATCTCTATCTCAGACAATTCTGTTATAATCTTTTTAAAGTCACATATCAATCAGTCTAGTGTCGTTCATGATGTGTCATTTATTTTTTCTAATACCATTATTTCTCAATATATATTTCTTATCGTTGTTGAGTCATTATAATCTCTTTGACTGTTTAAATGTTTGTTACCGCAATGTTTCCGAGTAACACTTAGTTTGGAATCAGAGATCGTCGCAGGGCAACTTTTTTCGCCCTGTCCTGCTGCCCTACCCTGCAGTGCAAAAGAAAGTTTTTCTTCTTAACCTAGAAGACTTGATCTTCAAGAAACTCATCACAAATACTGGATCTGTTCTCATGCGTAACAGAATCTTTTTTTTTATTAATTATCAATTTTAGAAAAGTTTGCTGTCATTTTTATTTTCATATATATTAGAGATCTCAAAATTTTACTTAAAAAGAAGTTTGAAAATCTCAAAAATCAATCTCTTGTAGGGCAAATCAAGGAATTTTTTGTTGCCCTGTCCTGCAACAGGACAGGGCAACAAAAATATATCACCCTGCCCAATACGGCAGGGCAACAGGACAGCCCTGTCCTGCGACGGTCTCTGTTTGGAATACTATCGTTTAGTAACCATCAACGATCTAAGCTGTAGAAGACGTTAACAGAGAATTTTCAATAGAAATCAAACTTTAAAAATAAAAAGAAAAGCACGAAGACTACAGAAAGAATTTGAGATGGCAGTAAATAGAAAAAGAAAACGATGACAAAACGACGGTTTTCACAGCCAGTTCAAAGCTTAAATGATCATAGTAACAGACAGGTACTATTCTGAGATAAAGAAAAACTTTTGTTGAATATAACTATATCAATTTGTGTGACAATTGTAACCAATCAGACATTCGGATCAGTTAAATAAAGAAGTAAATATACTATTATTGAAAATAGACTATTTGAATGTTGTTTACTTGGATTCGTTGTTTCTTGTTCGGAATGACTGTAAATATCCAGAGTGCATATATAATATTCCAATTTGAGAATAAAGTTTCACGTCTAATAGGAGAATAGCAGTTGAAAATTTTTTATGATTAATCTAATATCTCATTTACTATGCATAACAAACTATTAAGTCTCCTTGATCGGTTATTTGAGACAATTATTACTTTTTCTAATTGTATATTTCCACATTTTCCTATAAAGCAAAAAAAGAGTTATTGAAATAAACGAGACAAGTTATGAGTAAAGAAATTATTACCTCACCATTCATATTAAGCAACGATGTGCGTAATTACAAATTTTTGCGTATATTAATATCCTTTTTTTTAACAATTTATCATGATAATATTTGACTTTCTTATCCTGATCAATTAAAGTAAAAGTATTGAAAAGAAACATGATCGAGACTGAGAATAACAATTCTTTTATGGCCCAGTATAGTTTTTCAATGAAAATATGCATGTTCTCAATTTAGTCTAACAATTTTTTCATTGTTTTCCTAAATTGTGCAAAAGTTTTGTTTTACAAACCATGTTTAACACCGTCTGTAATATAGTCGTTCACTTTCAAACTGAAAAACGAGACGAACGGATCTTTGTCAATGATTATTTGTGTGAAAAATCTCTAAAAGTAATGCATTTATCTTAGAATGTTACTAGAGACGAGAACCAAACCATCGTTGATCCTAATCATGTCTAATTGAAAATTTTGAAGTGACCACATAGCTACTTCGAACTTTCACTAGTTTAATTATGATCGATTTCATATATATTAATGACCATTATCCATTTTCTTGATAAAACACTATCATTTTAAAGTGAAGCATTTGTTTGAACAATATTCGCCTATATGAATAATTCGAAGTGCGATCACAAATGATAATTTGATGTGAAGCATCATATAAACGTTCGGTACCGATCATTACACATTATATGATCTTCAGCGGTACACTAATCGTTTGATGAAAGCAGCATTCAAATTATATTTATAAAACTACATCTAACACGCATTTTATGTTGATCCAGGAGATGAGAGAATGACTGTATGACCAGTCGAAACATCGAGTAATTTTAATTTTAATTAAATAAAATATGAATGCTGCTTTCATTAAACGATTAGTGTTTTCTAAATGATTGGCTCTAAATCAATTTAATCTTCAGCGTTAAATTATCATTTTATTAATTAACTACCAATGTCAATTGTTTACTATAATTATGCTTTTGATAAATATTCAACCATTTTGATAAGAATAAATTCAATTCGGAATGATTCTTATGATAATCAATTTTATACGAAACGTCATCGATTGCTGAATAAAAGCAGACTTAAATCTAATTATGGACTTTCAAAGTTCATAAAAATACACATAAATCCAGAGATTTATGGAGACTTGTATGGATCTATGTAGTCGATTTAGATGTACGTACATAGACTTTACAAATTTTATTAGACTTGAAAAAGTCCATTGTACTTTGAAGTACAATTATTGTACCGTTAGTTACATGTTTGAATAAAAGTATGGAATAAAAATTGCTCTTTGAAAATGACCTAATATTGTTAGCTAATCTAAAACTAAAAGAAAATCATAACAAATATCAACTTATTCTGACAAGTTAAATGATTAAAAAGTTTTTCATTTAAAAACAGTTGTGATATTTTATGAGACAAAAAACTTTGAAAAACAACTTTTGTAATTATTATTATCAATACTAGATATGGCATATTTTTAGATAAATATCATTCAAAGAGAAATAGAAAAATATCGTACATCTAGTTTCATTGTATCTTATCCCTATCGACATGTATATCGAAAAGAGAAATATAAGCAGAAAGAATGTACATTTTATTTTGGCTATTTTACCACTCAACTAATACATACTATAGTAGAAAAATAATATGTTTTGTTGTTGAAAATACAAATGACTGAGTAACGAATAGATGTGTTACGTTATTATAATTTATGATATTAATAGGACAAACATATAATGACGAACAAAAAGAGAAGTAAAATCATTCGTTGATTATTACACGTTCAAGAATAAAACAAAATAAATAATTTAAAAAAGAAAAGAAAAGAAAAAGAAACGAAAGAGGATTTTATCCAACAATTTCTGATGATTCAAGACCACTTTGAAAATAATAATCATTAATTTTTTTTAATACATTATCCATATGCCAACTATGATCGGTCATTTCATCAAGAATCTACAATAAAAAATTGAAAATCAATAATAATAACTATTTAATTTTTAACAATTGTACATACTTGTTGTTCAAATAAAACTTCTGCTAAATCTTCTTGATCAATTACTAGTGATTTTAAAAAATCTTCAGTATATGGAACGGAACGTAAAGCAACCTGAAAATAAATAAAAATAATAATTTTTATTCTAGTTCAATGTAACAAATATAATTATTCTAATTACCGAAAATATTCCTCGTGTAATCCAGCCATGATAACGTTTCAACGACTGACTGTAAGCTTTATTTATGGCATCTTCAACACTTTTATCACCCAAACCAAACTCATGTAGAAAACAACATAAAAAATGGAGACCTCTAAATAGAAGAAATCAATGATTTTGCTGAACAAACATAACAGTTCTAGTTAAGACTGGTTTTTAGCTACGGTATTAACGGTGGTCTTGATAATTTGTTTATATCTCCATCAACGTTTATCTCTAAGATTTTCTTTTTTTAGTAAAAGAACTGTTGTAAAATTTTGTACAAAAAAAATATCCGATATTGATTGTTTTATTACAAAATATGAAAGTGGAACATGATACGAAAAATACGGAGGAGCTCTAAAATAGATGACTTTCTAAAGTACTTTTCAGTCAATTAAAATTGTGTTATTAAATGAGGATGCAGGAAGCAGTTGCATCAGACACAATCTACTCAGGTGTACTCTTTCTTCTCGTGTAATTTCTTTTAAACCTAATTTCATGACATAAAGAACAGTTTTTATTGAATTCGTCTGAAAACAACACAATTTTGATCTCTTCACTCAGCATATTGGAAGAAAAGAAACTTTTGAAGTTTTTCATATTTAATATATAATAGACACAATGCTTCTCTTCAAATAGGTATCACGTTCCACTTTCATATTTTGTAATAAAACGTTTCAATATGTTTTTTTTTTGTAGAGAATTTTACACCAGTTCTTTTACTAAAAAAAGGAAAATCTTAATCGTAAGCTTTGACGAAGATATAAGTAAATTATAAAACTATTCATTACATCTGGGCCACTCATTTGAGTTTTTATAACTATGACACTAGAAAACATTTCGAACGTGTTTTACAACTTTTTTTCAAAGTAAAATGTCATGTTTATATGAACAAATCAAGTGTGACAACTTTTTTGCCTACCTTTTTAGCCATAAAAGTGCATCTGTTGCCGAATTTCTTTCTTTTGTTGTTTGTGCTTGAATTTCATCATCTATAATTGATTTTAATGTTTGAAATTTGGCAGAATCTGTACTCATTTTTCGTCGAAGTTTCTAAAAATAAATCATTTAATTCATTTTGAATTTCTTGAAGAAAAATAGAAACTTCAGATGAATCAAACATACACTAATATTTCCATTGACATCAGCTTTGAGAGGAATAAATGTTGGACTATTGAATTTATCTAAAAATAATAACAATAATCAATTATAGAAAAATTATTATATCATAAAACAACAGTGTCACATACCAATCAGAGTAAAATAACTTTCACATGTAAGTAGGAATAATTCAGTTTTTAAATCAGTAAATGGGCCAGAACTTAATTCAGAAAATCTACAAAACAATAAAAGAAAAAGAAACAAATGATTTATAGAGAAAATTAGATATTATTGTATACTTGTAGCGAAGTTCGGAAAAAAATGATCGATAAACAATGGGTGCTGGAATAGTTTGTTTTATTGCATCATTTCTGGAAAAAAAAGAATATATAATTGACACTTTGTTTTTTAATCGTTCTTTACGCACGAAAAAGAATTACATACTTTATTGGCTTGATGACTGTTGTTGTAGTTAGAGAAGAATTACCGTCATCAGTCGATCGCCGTTGTGAATCATTAGAAACATTAAAAGAAGGAGAGGAAGGTAAATTAAAACATGACGTTCCTGAAGTTGGCGATGATGGTGAGAGTAATGATCCTTCACCGGAGCCACCTGTTGCTAGTTTAACACATTCGTCTAATGTATGAATAAATGCATCACATGTTGCACTCAACATTGACGTTGACTCGTCTAATTTCTACAAAAAACAAAAAGAAAATGTTAAGCGTTTCAATTAGAATAGGGTCTTTGTTGTAATGTAACATTACAGTTTTAACATCTACTGTACACACTACATTTTAAACGAGAATTGCCTTTGTATATATACACATTTTGTTGTATTAATTTTTACGAATTTTATTTTATTTTGTTTTATGTTATACTGAAGAAGATTGCACGTTGTAATCGAAACGTCTAACTGTTGATTGTAAATAATAAATTTACGAAGACAAAGTGTATATTATAGGAAAAAACAAAAAATATAAGAAAATGTTAAGTTATCTCTAAACATTGTGACTAGCTATCAGATGGCTGTTTATATGTTTTAGGATCTTTACTGACATTAAATGATTTGTCAAGTTTAAGCAATCATCATAAAAACCAAACAAAAATGTTTACTTATCTTTATCTGAAGGTACAAATCCTTTCATAATCCCAAAGGTATAACATCTTCTCTCTATAACTCATCACAGAGTATACAGGCTTTGGTCACTGATCAAGGATATAAGCTGTATGGGTTGAGCAGCGGGAGTAGAGCACACTATAGCAATGCACAGGATGGGGAAACCTCAGAGTTTACTTTTGGACAATTTAGTCCAAAAGTAAATTCTTTGCATTTGAATTCAAAGTTCAAGTGTTCGATTCTACAGTACTCCGCAAAAGTAGCGGGCCTCCTGTAACTGCAGAACCATGATAGCTAGGGACTTCTAATTTTGTGTATTTCATAGCTCTTACCAAATGCTGATCACCCACCAAGTATGGGCCTCTTTTATTAGATGGTTCGTAAGATATAAGCGATTTATGTCTTTTTCGTAAAATATCAATAGCTCCTGACCTAAGACAGGTGAAAACTTTTCTTGGTCCTTTCCAAGAAAAATTCATAACTTATTCTAAGAACATCTGTTCCACTTCAAACTCACAACAAATACTCTTCAACGACTGTAGACTATCCAGTCAAAGTATGAAGGTTCACTATTGTGTGGTTCTGGAAATTCATTGAGAACGAGCACTCACGATCGAAACATACGTAGAAGAGCGAAGGTGAGGAACTAAGGGTCGCTCTTTCTACTATAGAATCTGCATTCAATGTGCATCATAATTATGAAAAAATAATCATAGAAACCTATGGTTACGGAAAGCGTAGGTGAAACTTTTGTCAGAAAGATTACACACTCACCATTAACCTAGAAAGAAAATTTTCAATGAAATTTTTTTATTCGAAAACCAAATGTTAAGTATGCTTTACTCAGTTTTGTTTGCTGATCTCAAATATGTTATTAGTTTTGCTTTAAAAAAAGAAGAGAAGTGAAAAGGACGCAAAATAAATGAAATGGCGAAGGTCAGAGGTGAGTGTGTAATCTTTCTGACAAAAGTTTCACCTACGCTTTCCGTAACCATAGGTTTCTATGATTATTTTTTCATAATTATGATGCACATTGAATGCAGATTCTATAGTAGAAAGAGCGACCCTTAGTTCCTCACCTTCGCTCTTCTACGTATGTTTCGATCGTGAGTGCTCGTTCTCAATGAATTTCCAGAACCACACAATAGTGAACCTTCATACTTTGACTGGATAGTCTACAGTCGTTGAAGAGTATTTGTTGTGAGTTTGAAGTGGAACTGATGTTCTTAGAATGAGTTATGAATTTTTCTTGGAAAGGACCTCATACCTCAGAACCTCATTTTCAGAGACCTTGCTCGTAAAATAGCTGTATTTCACTGACTACTAACAGCCAACTCACAAAATTTTATATCGTAGATGCAGCAGAGTCGTGGCTACATTTTAGTAAAAAGAAAAAGTTTTCACCTGTCTTAGATCAGGAGCTATTGATATTTTACGAAAAAGACATAAATCGCTTATATCTCACGAACCATCTAATAAAAGAGGCCCATACTTGGTGGGTGATCAGCATTTGGTAAGAGCTATGAAATACACAAAATTAGAAGTCCCTAGCTATCATAGTTCTGCAGTTACAGGAGGCCCGCTACTTTTGCGGAGTACCGTATCAACTGTGTAGTGTTCTTTTGTGCTTTGCTTCTTTCTGTTCTATCCTTATCTCTCTCAATCAATCAATCCACTTACTTTAACATCTGGGACGGGTGTATCATTCGCTACTGATTTCACTGTATGTACACGTTGCATTAATAAATCACTATATAAACGTAATTCATGAATTTTTAATTGTAATTCGTGATCAGATACGGAGACTAAAAAATAAATAATTGAAAACAAAAATTATCTACAAGAATATGCTGAATATCATTATTTTCAATGTTTTACTTGAATGTAACGATGTGGCTGTTGACGATACTAATGCTGTTGATGTATTAGTATTATTTGTTGACTTATTTCCAATTGCTTTACAACTACCAAGTGCCACTAACCATTTTTGTCTATCTGGTTGACTTTTAGCACGTAAACAAAACAGTTGTTCACAAGGAATAGCAATATCAATTCTTAATGGATCATGTGGATGAGCTAAATTAAAAAGAATCTTAAATTATATTAGGTATAATAAAAAACGGAGTTATTTTTGTTCTTACCTTTCACTTCACAAGCTGATACACGACACGAGCCTTTACAACCTTCATGAATTAATTCTCGCGATTTATAATATGATAATATACCAGTTTCATTAAGAATAAAATAGCGCGGCTGCCATCCTGGAAGTAAAAAATAACTTTCGCTGATGGAAACATAAAAGAGACTGATCAATTAACATGAAAGATAAGAAGAGCTACTAAAAGAATTTCTTAATAGTTATTCTAATGCTGAGAGTATCGGTTGTTACTAGAGACAAAAGTAGAAAAGAAAAGTTTTCTTTTAGCCTGCAATCAACACTAGAAACTCATTCATCGCAGTAAAGCGAACGAAAATATAGCTTCTCCACCTAAGAGCGTATTATCCCTCGTGTGCCGTGTTCTGTCATTGCGATTACAGCAATACATTGCTTATAATTTTTTTTCTTTTCAATCTTTAGATCTAATTGTTTTTCCAAAAGATGCGCCATCAAATTCTGTACAAAACTTGATCAAACTTATTTCTATAGAAAGTTAAGGAGAGAAGTTAAACGGAGAATACTCAACATGATGAAACGGACCAACTTTCTAAGCTATTTTGTTCTACAAATTTTAGAATATTTTAAGCAACTATAAAGACAATGAAACAAAAGTGAAGACATTTTTGAGTATTTTCAAGTGCGCTCTTTCTCCTTATGTAGTTCACAGTTCGTTCAAATCTAAGTGAGCAATGGAAAATCTAACATTACAAAATTCACCTCAAAGTGACCAAAATCTGCTATGCGTACTGGAGTGGAGTGAGTCACTGAAGATGATGATTGTATACTTGACAAACTTTGAAGTAGCGCTAAAGACATATAAATTGAAATGTTTTATCATAAGATCAGAAATACATTTTTTTCACCAATGCCTGCCCACTTTATCGATTGGCATCGTACTATTTTTTCGAAGAACATTCAATTATTTTGTGAAGTGCATAAATATTTTCGTAATATCTCTTTTTCCAAGTGTCAAATATCTCTTCGTGATTGATAAAAAATGATTCCAGATACTAAAGCAGTTTACTAATAGGGCTGGCTATTTACCATTACTGTTACTAGTAACAAGTAACAAATTTTTATTACTTTACTATTAAAATAACACCGAGTAACAAGTAAACAGCCAGCGCTATCTACGAATTGAAAATAAAAAGTATAAAATCTGACCACCACTCGTCCACTGCAGTATTTGAGCATTCACCAGAACCCAAAACGAGGCAGGATTTTGCTCCTTCGCCTCAATTCGCCTCGAAGACTGTTGCCCTCGGTTCGCTTCGATTCAACTCTATTTTTTTCAAGGCCGCCTCGCCTAGTCTCGTTTCGTGAGATGTCTGCTTCGCCTCGCCTTTTCTCAGAAAAAAACAGATTCCAAGTATGCGATATCATTTTTTGGTTAGTATATATGAAAGTAATTAAAAAGTTTAGTTAATTGATACAAGACAGCTTTATTGTTTGAGAAGTGAACAAAAATAATTTAATCAACAAACAAGAAAACATCAGGCGATGTCCATTCATGAAGTTCATATTTCCATCTCATTATTTTCAAGCGAGCGAAGTAGCAAGGTATAATTGACCGTAGATGGTTCTAATGAGGAACGCCGCTGAGTTACGATTTGGCCAGCCGCACTAAATTCGCGCTCTACCGCAGCAGAGCTACATGGTATTGCAAAATATCGTTTTGCCAAACAAGATAAAGATGGAAATTTAGATTCGTATTTCTTTCAAAAGTCAAGTGGATTAAGGTATGCTTCATCTTGAAGATCTAGTTCGAGATACGTAGATATGACAATGAAACAACAAGAGAGAGAGAGACAGGTTGGACGAGGTCAGTGCCCGCTTGCGGACGTGCATGATTATTGGCACACAACGACTACAACAATGAATAATTTTTCAATGCAAGGAAGAAACATCAATCAAAAATTCGCACACATTCCTCTAAGAAATATAGTTATTTTTTGACGAGGTGGCCATTGTAGCATCGGTTCGCTTCGCCTCGCTTCGATTGGTAATTTAAAAATTCAGCTTCGCTTCGTTTCGGGCTATGGCACTCACCTAATCTACTCTTTAATATTACATTTTGATAAATTTAGAATATAAACTTTGCTTACCATTATAATAATTTGTCCATTTCAAAAGAACACCTTCCATTTTGTCCAACCATTATGATTAATCCAAAACATTTTTTTTATTCTACATTTATATCACCAATTTCAAAGAGAATATATTATCCAAACAAATATCTGAAATATCAAACATGGCGCCCTTACATGATATCACTTTTAAATAGTAGGAAAAAAAACAGAACATATTTTAAAAAAAAATTCTAATAGAATAAACTAAACATGTTTGAAGTGAATATTCGCCAATTATGTGATGTCATGGAACATCATAATACTGATGGTGTTGAACGACTAAAATTATTAGGTGGTACAAATGAATTAATAAAAAAATTACGATCAGATATGGTGAATGGTATTTCACAAGATGAACAAGAATTAGAAAAACGAGAAGAAATATTTGGTCTTAATGAAATTCCTCCTAATCCACCTAAATCCTTTTTTCTTCTAGTCAAAGAAGCAAGTGAAGATATTCTCATCATGATGTTATTAGTATGTGCTGTTGTAAGTATAGGTAAGTTAAAATTAACTAATAACTTTAATAACGGCTTAAATTTCAGATGTAAAACTTTAACTGTTATCAAAAAAGTCTTTTTTTTTAATCTATTTACATTTAGATCTATAGAAGATAGAATTCTTCTTCTTCTTAAAAAAAGAGATTGTTCATTTTTCACTACTTTTATTTTTAGGTTTATCGTTTTATCAAGATATAGATGAAAGACGTTTAAAAGAAATTCATGATACATTTGTATTTAATCATCAACTGTACAATATTCAACATGAAAATAATATCGATTGGTTAGAAGGTGTAGCAATTTTAGTTTCTGTAATTCTTGTTGTATTTGTTACGGCATTTAATGACTGGCGAAAAGAACGACAATTTCGTGGATTAAAAAAGAAACTCGAATTACAAGAACATGTAACAGTTATTAGAGATGGTCATGTTATCGAAATAGAAATGAAAAAATTAATGGTCGGTGATATTTATATGTGTAAATATGGAGATATTGTGCCAGCCGATGGTATTATTATTCAAAGTAATGATATTAAAACCGATGAGTCAAGTTTAACTGGAGAATCAAAATTGGTTAGTAGTAATAAATCGATTGAGTCAGAAAAAAAAAATATTGTTAACGTACATTTTAATTCTGTTAATAAAATAGTCATATTTTCAAAGTTTAATAAATCTAAGATTTTAAGAAGAAAAATGAGAATATTGTGCACTTTCGTTAATGATCAATGTTTGTTTTTCTCTTTTCTAGTTGAAGAAAAGTGCTGAACTAGCTCCATTTCTTTTATCTGGTACGCAAATTATGGAAGGTACGGGTCGAATGTTAGTAACAGCTGTTGGTGTTAATTCACAAGCAGGTATCATTAAAAGTTTATTAAGTAATAAACAACATTTATCACGGAGAAAAACTGGTGATATAAAAACACATAGTACAATGGATGAAATAACTGGTGTAAAATTTAGTATAACAGATAGTAATATTGGTGGAATTGGTGATACAGATACGATTTATTCAAATATAAATCAAACAGGTGATGATTTAAATGATAAACAAAAATCGGTTTTACAAGAAAAATTAGGAAAATTATCATTTCAAATTGGTACAATGGCAATAATTCTTGCCTCATTAACAATGTTTGTATTATTTTTAAGATTTCTTATAGAAGATTTACAACAATTTACAGCTAAAGATGTTAAAGAAATTATACGAATTATTATCACTGGAGTTACAGTACTAGTAGTAGCCATACCAGAAGGATTACCATTAGCTGTAACAATATCATTGGCATATGCTGTCAATAAAATGTTAGATGATCATAATTTTGTAAGACATTTAGATGCTTGTGAAACAATGGGTAATGCAACAACAATATGTTCAGATAAAACAGGTAAATAAAATTTCTAAATTTTTTCTCTGTTTAATTTTATATTGTGTCTCAAGGAACTTTAACAATGAATCGAATGACTGTTGTTCAATTCTACATGGGACTTCGAATTTATACAGATGTTCATTTAAAACAAAATTTATCTATAAATCAAAATTTAATTACATCTTTTTGTGAATCAATATCAGTTAACAGTAATTATTCATCAAAAATTATTTCAACCTATAATGAAAATGAACTTGATCAACAAATAGGAAATAAAACGGAATGTGGTCTTCTTGGAATGGTTCGACAATTAAAACGAGATTATGAAATATATCGATATAAATATCCTGAAACATCATTTTTACATGTTTATACATTTAATTCTAATCGAAAATATATGGCTACTGTGATTATTGATGAAGATAAACATCGAAAATTATTGATTAAAGGAGCAAGTGAAATTATTCTTGAACGATGTATTAATATATTAGATGAATACGGTTCAGAAATACAATTGACACAAACGTTAAAAACACACATATTAACAATAATTATACAACAGATGGCGAGTGAAGGTTAGAAAAAGCACATCTGTTTGTTGCTATCATCGTATAAATATGAATATTGAGTCTTTCATTAAGGTTTAAGAACGATTGCATTAGCGTATCGATATTTACCAACAACTCGTTCTATTAACTGGGATGATGAAGAAAGTATATTGTCCAATCTAACACTAATAGCAATTTGTGCTCTTCAAGATCCTGTACGTCCCGAAGTACCAGAAGCAATTCGTTTATGTCAAAGAGCAGGTAACGTCTTTTTATCTGATTCTTTTTTCTTTTTTTTAAAATATAATTTTATTCATTAATTAGGTATAACGGTTCGAATGGTTACAGGAGATAATATTGCCACAGCAAGAGCAATTGCTCAAAAATGTGGCATAATTTATCCAGGAGATTTATCTCTTGTTATCGAGGGTACAGATTTTAATCGTTGTATACGTCGACGAGATGGTGAAGTCGATCAAACATTATTCAATAATTTATGGCCACGATTAAGAGTACTAGCCCGATCATCACCAACTGATAAATACACGTTAGTTAAACATATTATTGAAAGTCAAGTAAATATTGAACGAGAAATTGTTGCTGTAACGGGTGATGGAACAAATGATGGACCGGCACTAAGAAAAGCCGATGTTGGATTTGCAATGGGTAAAAGTATTGAAACTATTGTCAGTATTAATAATGGTAATTTTTTTTGTCTTTGTTAATCTATTTAAGGCATCCAGGGTACAGATGTAGCTAAAGAAGCATCAGATGTCATTATAACCGATGATAATTTTAATTCAATAGTAAAAGCCGTATTATGGGGACGAAATGTGTATGATAGCATTGCTAAATTCATTCAATTTCAATTAACTGTTAATATTGTCGCTGTAACATTTTCATTTGTTACAGCCTGTCTATTACGTGAAAGTCCATTACGAGCTGTTCAAATGTTATGGGTCAATTTAATTATGGATACTTTGGCATCGTTAGCTCTAGCAGCTGAATTACCCGATAAATCTTTGTTACAACGTAAACCATATGGACGAAAACGACCAATAATTAGTCGAATAATGATGAAAAATATGATTTCACACGCATTCTATCAATTAAGCGTGATTTATCTATTATTATTTTTTGGAGATGATTTATTCGATTTAGATTCTGGTGACCATCTTACTAATTCAAAGATTCTTCATTTATATAATGTAATGATGTTTTCTTGTTTTAGGTATACCCGATCGATCTAGACACGTCTATTTTCGTCCAAATCAACATTTTACAATGATATTTAATACATTTGTGATGATGACGTTGTTTAATCAAATTAATTCGAGAAAAGTCCACGGTGAACGTAATGTATTTTTGGGTTTATGGCAGAATAAAACATTTTTGGGTATATGGATAACAGTATTTATTATACAAGTTATTATTGTTCAAGTTTTAGATGATATATTCTCATGTCGTCGACTTGATGGTGATATATGGATGGTTTGTCTAATGTTCGGTGTCGGCAGTCTTATGTGGGAACAAATTATTTGTTTTATTAATATTGTTGATAAATCACATATCAAAAATGATACACTCGAAGAACTATCGGATATAACGACAATTTGGTCGAATTTATTACAACGAGTAAATGTACAATATACGATTGCTAAAGCATATGCACACAGTATCAATGTTAATGTGTAGGAATATATATAGTTTTTTTCTCATTTTTCTCAAGTATATAATCTAATCGCTACATGTTAATACTTATCAAACAAACAAATCCTATCCTCCTCTAAAAATCTTCTCTATAGAAATGAGAACTATCTACTCTTCATTTCAATAGAGATTTTCAAAAAACTTGTAATACGTCTAAAATAGACAATCGCAAAAGTCTCAACATACAAATGAAATTTAGAAATAGAATTTAAACAAACAAAGAAAGATACGATTTTAGTAAATTATATATTAAATTATATTCAAAATTTTGCAAACAATCTATAATAAATTAAAAACAGTAAAACAAAAAACTAAACAAATAAATAATTCGCTTATAGATCCTCGTATGTTCAAATCGTACACTTAACGCTAGAACTGTTTTTTCTCAATGACAGAAAGTTGATTAACTAAATAAGACAAAAATGAATCTACAAAATAACTGCTAGATACAAACTAGATATTTCTCAATTTTTAATTGGAAATTAGAAAAAAAGCGCTACGATAATACAGATAAAAGAAAACACAATCGTAAGTTTAGAAAAAACAGGTTTTCTACATCTTAAATAACAAAAAGAAAATTTGTATAGTTTATCTTTGACCGATTCTAAAAAGTAGATGATTTCGTTAGTCAGATTGTAGAATTGTACGACTAAATTTAACGTAGAAAAGGGAATGAGAATAGAGAGTTTTCTCAGAAGTCAAATGCTGTTGAGCTGATTCTTTGTACTATTTAGTTCCTTACCCAACTATTACGTAGGATATAATTAAAATAAAGATAATAAACAAGTCCAAAACCAGGTTTGTAAAGCTTTTGGATACACTTGAAGTTAAGTTGTTATCAAATTTGATCGGACTTGTTCATCTCTGACGATGAAGAGGCTAGAATACTGTGATTATGAAAGCGTATACTGCTTATCAAACCGTCAACAGCGTTTTAAAATGATAACTGTACACGGGGTGGAGGGGGGCATATGAGTGCGTGTTTTTTTAGTTGTTCTCATTTTAGCGCGCCTCATTTCATTGTAAAAGTCAACATGCAGGTTAATTTGACCCAGACACTTTCAAAATCTAATTTGAAAAATGCACTCACATAGCAGTCAGTCATCGTTGCGTATGATCTTCTGTTTTCTAAGTCAAGAAATATGGCTAAAATTGAAATATCCGAAACAGGTCGTGGTAAACCAGCAGTTCAATTTGAAGGATATAGCTATAGACTTGAACGCCACCGAAGAATCTGGTGGAAACGTCGAGAATCTGGTTGTCCTGATCGTCTTAACACTCTTAAAGATTATACAAAACCAGATTTGAGTAAGTAATTCTTATTATAATGATAAGGGAGCTTAAATCTATAAAACGCACCTCTTAAAGGAACCTACATTCGCACAGCCGAGATCCAAGATAAAAAAGGAAGGAACCATCGCCACCAACATCGTTATGAAAACTTGTATTCTGGATAAATATGGAAAATTGTGTACAATTGAAACAAGACAAATTTTCTCCTGAAAATTTCTTACAAGTTCAAAGTTCGAGTAACAGAGAACCTTTCGATATCAATCAGTCCTTATAACATAATCTTCAAAATATCGGTCATCAAGAGTATGTGGATGATACTGTTCAAAAATATTGTAACCTACGCTATTTCCCCTTTTACTGTATGATAAAAGATTACTAACCACTGAGAATTAATCTCAAACAGTGGTGACGGAAACAATTCAAATGTTTCAAAATATTTTGAGGAATGAGTTGTGTAATTGAAAACGCACCCAAATAAGACGCACTAAACTAAGACACACTAAAATGAGAATGCGCTCAAATGAGACGCACTCAAATGAGACGCACTAAAATAAGGCGCGCTAAAATGAAGCCTCACCATGAACCCAACAGCATCAGTCACAATTAACGAAAAAGACCAGTCTGAACTGATATATTTCTGGTTCTTTTTCTTTCTACTTCACTTTCCAGTTCAGCTCGAGTCATTGCTATTACAAAGCGGGAGCTTTTGACGACTCTCACTTTTCGTAAATAAACTAGTCTACATTCATCCTTCAAGTGCATAAAAGCAGAAAGAAAATACTAAAACAGATTTGAAACCACTGTTTGAGAAATAAATAAACAAAAGAAACTGTCCATATATACTGTAATTCTAATCGAGACTAAGACTAAGAGTAAGATTGTTTTATTCACGAAAAGTGAGAGTCGTCAAAGGTCATTGACCTGTAATAAATGACTCAAGTCAAACAACACAAAAAGAGTAATAAAAAAGAACAAAATAAATAAGACAACTAAGGTTAAAACCAGAAGTAGTAAAAAAAGAACAAATGTAAATTCTTAACTGACAAATGTTTCACTGGAAGAGATACTGACATAAATCTGTTTTGAAAGATGTTAAAGAAGAAAGACAAATAACTGACTCTGGGAGATTATTCCAGTCAGCAATAGTTGAATAAGAAAAAGAAGAATGCACCGTTTGCGGATAATAACCATCAACAGAAGATGGAATGCAAACATATTTACAATGATGAAGACGCAAAGATGAGTAGTGCGGACGATGAATAGTATAAAAAAGAGAAACAGGACTTAGACAATGATAAATTTTGAAAAACTGTAAAAGTCTAAAGTATTTACGACGACGAGTGAGATTCGGAAGAGAAAGTTGAGACACAAGTAGAGAACTAGAAAAACGATAGTCAAAATTGCGAGAAATAACACGAGAGGCAAGTTTGTTTACAGAATCAAGAACAGTAAGAGAAAAGGAACTGTGATACAAGGCACAGCAATAGTCAACTTTAGGAAGAATAGAAAAAAGATAGATTCGACGCCGAACTTCAGTTGGAGCTAATCCAAAGACATGATTCAATGCTCCAGGCTCGTGCGGACAAGCAAGAGCAATGTCCTTGGCATGATCATTCCACCTAAGATCGTGTGAAATAAGAACACCAAGACAACGAACAGAAGATAACAGAGACAGGAGCACCATTGAGATACAATTGAGTATAAACGTACAGAAAGAGGTTGAATGAGAACGGAAGCCAACAACATTTAGAATAAAAGCAGAAACAAAATACTAAAACAGATTTGAAACCACTGTTTGAGAAATAAATAAACAAAAGAAACTATCCATATATACTGTAATTCTAATCGAAGCCAGTTTACGCTAAAATTTGAGCGAGCGACGATATATTATAATGACAGGACTCCACAGATACGATCGTGCAATAAACTAATGGTTCAGAAATAAACGACGGAACAGAGTAATGAACGGTTCTTCTATAATAGATGCAATTGTTGAATTTAAACAGTTGATCATGTCGCTGAAATTTCATTGGACAAAAATTGATGACTGTTACAGCCAATCACGTCTAGATAAACACCTTCAAATTGTTGCAGAAAAGCGTTTGACGAAGTAAATCATTTCAGATGGTATCGTAAGATTATATTAGTACTATCATATACTAATTCTCAGAAACATCAATAGTAGAAAATTCGAAGATTTGACGAAGGAGTTCTTTTTTCCGTATCATCTGAGAGAACTTAATAACATATGAGATGGTATACTGCAACTAATAAAAATAAATTTTTGGCCGTTTGAGTTTGCACTGTAAAAAACGCCTCGTGTCTAACGCTGTAACTAGACGCTGAAGTGTCTAAAAATAAGACGTTTGTGGATTGATACAGAAGTCGACTTCTTTTGATTTATCAATTTATTACTCCGAAAAGATCTTTTCAGACTAATAACGCATTTTTTATCCGTATTATTTTCCAAAATGAATAAGGCTTTGACTAGAGTTGCCAGATCATCAGGTCAGAAATACGGAATAAAAATTGCAAAGTGCGGCAAATTTTGTCAGAATGCGTTGGTAAGAAATAATTATAAATTTCAGTGCATGATAATGATAAGTTTAAACGAATTTTTAACTTAGGAGAAAAACGGAAAATGCTTAAAATGCAGACAAATTGCGGAGAAAACTCAAAAAAAAGGCGGACCATCTAACAACTCTGACTAACACACATTCTGTGACCAGAGTACGTAATTCGGTTAGCTCTTGTCGCAGAATCGCTTCTTTGGTTTCATTGTTTGTAAGGTCGCATTCAGAGTACAATAAATAAGTCGGAATAAGTTTTCCACTGTTTATAAGTATCTTTAACAGGCATTTATTCTTATTTTGATTTAATGCAGTGTGAATACAGTTTAAATGAAGCAACAAATGACAAACTTATAAATAAGAACCGATATAAGTTTTTAGTATGGATGCAAGTCTCTTCATCATCATTTTGTTTCTTATGTTGTATTGAAATATTTTTTATGGAATAAAGAAAAAATTACATAGCTCGAACTAGTTCTTTTTTCATCTATGAAAATTGATTTACACAGTATTCTTAGGAAGTGGAGGATAGAGGCTTCTTTTAGGACGATAGAAGTTTAAATGAACTTTGAGATAGAAAGGAAACGCATATTTTGGTCTACATTGCCTTGTATCACACAAAAAACGTTGATTTCTGAATTGCTTTTTCCACATAAAACTCATTTTGTTGCTTTTTTGGGCTACAGGGTGAGAAACCAGCCCTGTTTTTCAAGGAGCTTTGTTAACTTCCATGTAGCTCAGACGACAAACATTTGTTTGTTTACATCTGATAGTCAAGTGAAAACTGAAATAGCTTCTTCTGTTCAAGTACACCTGAGTTTGAAGACTGAAGGCATTTTTGATCTTCAGACCTTTTGTTTTGCGCAAACTTTGCTTATTTTCTTGAGTTTTTTCCTTGGATTTTTGATGTAAATAGACAAACGTTGATTTTTGGACGCTTGAAAACAGTGCGAGAGATTTGCTAAAAACGACCATCAGGTGCAGGTGCGTACGTGCCTAAAATCATTTATTTTGTGTCTAACCAAAACGGTTCATGTGTCTAAAGTTTTGATACTTTGACGAATAAAAAAATGGTCGAAGTGTCTAGATTAGACGGATGATCCCGTCTTTCTTAGACATTTCATCTGGCTGCTTTTTTATACCATGAACTTCAAAGACAAAAGTTCGTTATGCGCTTGTTTTCGAAACTTTTTTTATTCGAATTAAGGAGAAAAGACGATGTGATTACTAACTATAAAGTGTTCGCAAACGAATTTAGCGAAACAACAGTTGCACTGAATATTTTTAGATCAAAGGAGCGAAAACGTCATTGATATGTAATTTACTTCAACGTTTTTGAGTCTTTTCTGCGTCATCATTTTAATCTTTGGTAATAAACGTTTTGTCTTCAGATTATTCTTTTTCAATGAATTTGTCAGATACGTCACCAGAATCTCAACTAATTTTCTCGACATGTATAAATCGGCCACCTGATCAACATTTATTAAATGAATCACTTCCTGCAGTTGAATCATATTCAATTTTATTTGATCGTGCACGTCACAATTTTTCAGCAAGTTCTGAAAAATCCTTTTTTGGTGATATTAAACAAGACCTTGAACAGTTCAAATCACCCACAGTACCTCCAGAAACAATCTTGGTTGACCATAACAGCAGACAGAATAAACTACCACCTCCACTTCTCGACAAAACGTATACAAAATTGACAGATAACGAAGAAAATGTAGTTAACAGTATTAGTACAATTAATATTGAACAAGAAAGAGAAAATCATTCGTTAATTACTGCAATAAATGCCTTCACCGGGAAACCATTGAGCCCAAATCCCTGGAAAAAGTTATCAAGGGAAGGAGGAAATACAAAACAGCACCTATTGAATTTATCAAAAACAACAAAGAAAATTGATGATAATGAGAGAACACCAATATCTGCTCAAAAACTAATAAATGTAAAAGTAAGCTTCGAGGAAGAAACAGAATGAAGCGGATATAAGAATATATTGAATAGGAAAATTTTTTATATATTCTCCTTTAAAACAGTAAAGACAGAAGATCTTCATACAGTTTTCGGAGAAGTAAGCAATTTGAGAGATCAATTTTTGCAAAGAATTTGACATTAATCTTTCGAGATATGTTTTTCGACTGTGTTATTTTTATTTTGTAGTCTATGCGGGAGTTATTATATTATCATTTGCCAGACATAGACAATGATCTACAGTATCAAACACTTGTAAAAGATAATGATTCACCAAGTAAGAATACTATCTTTACTTCATAGATTGGCCCAGAATATAAATTAACGTATGATCTATTCATCCTGAAAATTTTTTTGATATTAAACAGCTATCTAGTTTACTCTGATTTGATATTCATATGCGGTTTTATACTAAATACGTTCACTACTATTGCTACTATTCTATTGTGCTATTTAGCTCATCTTTCTCTTTCTGTTAAGTACAATGCTACTATTTCTATTATTTTCAGTCTTCTTGTCAGAGAAGAAGGAAAAACGCCGAAAATCAAGGTAAATGTTATAAATTTTAACGCATGTAATGCATGTTTTAACTAATATTATCATTATATTTCGTTGTTCTACTATAACTATCCTGATTATTCAACGTTTCTAAATATATTAATAAATTATTTGAATCGAATAGTTATAAATATCACGATAACTAACAGTTTCCACTTTTTATTAAACAGATGCTCGTATATCTATATACGATTGTATTGAACATTACATTCTTCATAGATACACATATACTATTCTTTTTTTATTTCATGACAGCAATTGATGTCATTCGTTCTCAACGGGTTAATCTTTTGCACACAAAAACAGTTGAGGTGGAATGTCAATAAAAATAACTAGATAAAAAACATTGTAGAAAAAAAATATTGTAGTTTAACTCAAAAAATAATTATTGTTACATATTTTGTCTAATTATTATATAATAGTTGCTTCTATCTATATGCATTACATCAGCAACAGTCAAATAAATGGTAGAAATATGTAGAAAGATTTCATATTGACGGGCACTTAGAATATTACTTTGTTTCTACTTGTTATTCTTGCTTTTTTTTTAATTTAGGAATAGTATAATCTTTATTTCACTTTATACTTGAAATATTTGAATTTCTTTAAACCCAATAAAAACTGTATCTAATCTAAAAACGTGTTTATTTTTTCAAAATTCGTATTTATTTTCTCTGTACGATAATGTTAATGTATTATGAGTAGTCTTACACAGAAAAGAGACGATAATTTGCTGAATAAATTGTAACTCATAGATTTCATACTGTGTAGACTTGTGAATGTTAAGAAAATTGTTGAAGGTCAAACTTTAAGAAAAAATTAAAAAGAATGCTCGATTTTTTACAATGTATGGCAAATGTTTGAAAATTTAAATAAACGATTGACTAAATTAGTGATTAGACCTTTTAAATGCAAAAAATGCAGGATACTTGAAAGTAACTATTTTCCCTCTTGATTATAAACTGCTACAAGTCTGAAATTATAGCCTGTCTCGAAATCATAGTCTTCAAATTCTAGGACAACGATGTTGTGACTTTTAACTAATGCCAACATACTTCAGTGACTTGTTAGTTGATCTGAAAACTATATACTTAACATGAAATCATTTGTTTTTTAACATCCATTTCTACCGTGTACGTTTATTTACTAATGGTTCTTGGGTCTTTCCAGTGCAAAAGATGTTAAAATATAACAGAAAAGTTTTTATTATTTCATACATTTCAAGAACATGGTTTCTAAAATAAAAGTGCCACCGACATAACGTTATCTTAACTGTCAAGCAGAACGGACTCGCATTTATTATACAAGCAACTTTCTTTTCTCTCTCTATATCATCTGTTTATGAAAGAAACAAATTTGATAGCCTCTTAACGATCTCCTGTGCAATAATCATATGGACAGACGACACATACGGTAAGAGAGAGAGAGAAAAAAAAACGAATGAATTTTCTCCAGAAAACATATCAGCCGCGATGTGTGTATGCACATGCTATTAGTTAAACATTGAACTTGTCCAACTAACTTTTGTTGTCACTCTCTCTCTCTCTCTCTCTCTCTCTCTCTCTTTGTGAATTTCACTATAAAAGAAAAAAAATGATATGAAATAACGTGTCTCACAAACACACTACCATGGATGTATTTGAAAGATGTAACGAAAGAATATCAAGAGCGGCATCAGAACGTATATTTGATTAAATTTTTTACGCACAAAAAATGTTGAAGCATCTCGTATATCATCATTCTAATCATCAAAAACAAGTTCGTACATTCGATGATTTTTATCGTATTCCAACAACAAAAATAATATCCAATGCATCTTCGGCTAAATTGGTTGAGGAACAATCTCAGCGCCGTCCTCATTATCAGAAATCGCGTTCATATGAAATAATGCCAATAGCTTCTACTTCATTACTGATTAATTCTCCGCCAGTTCAAAAACAATTATTCACATTTCACAGTATCTTTTGTGACTTACAAACAACAATGACACCGGAATTAGATGAAACAGAACCAATATGTGCTAATGACGAGAAAGAAATGTTTCAACCTGTTGTGTTTGACAATAACGATGTAAGTTAACTAATTATACAAGTATATTTTCAACCTGAACACACAATTAGATTAACATTTCTTAATAGTGTCTGAAGCATAATAGATAACATTTTTCGTTATTTCGGCCCCTTTCGTTATAGTCGTCAGCATCGTTTGCAAAACCAGAGCCAACAACGCCGATTTCAATTCCTTCTAACATTGACTCATATCAAGAACCAAAAGCTATGTTTTATCTTGATGAACCAACATCCCAACCAAATTCTCCTTCAACTCATTGGTCTACATTACATTCTTATATTCAACGTTTTCGACATTTACATCACCATCATCATGCACACAGTTTACACTCTCATCCTCCTACTACTCGTCTATTATCATCAAAGCAAACTTCGATGAATGAATTTGAAAGTAGTACCCATCACAGACGGCAACAATTTCAACAACGCAGTAGTGTTTCATTAGGCGACCGACCCCGCACACATCATCGATTTTTGAAACGTTCAGAGACAAATATTGCTGGCAAACATGGTTATTTTGGTGCTATTAATGAAATGAACGAATTTAAGGCAGTTTCATCTGCTGAAGATTTTCCAGAATTAGTGCCGTCTGTCGGACAACAACTGCGCACATTAAAAAAACACCGAAAACCACATAGTTCGCTTGCGTCTTTTTTTCATAATTTTCATCATTCTCATACTCACCAGTTAGAAGATCATGAAAAATCATTGAATCATTTATGGCCTGCAACGTCTCCAAGTCAAAAGTCGAATTCAACAGTGTCAAAATCTACTGGATCTTTGTCCGATACACCTCTCGATTTACATCAACAACAATCGACAGGTACTTTTTCCTTTAACTAGTTTCATGGTAGAGCGTACTAGAGGTATACTTAATTCTATCGTTGTTTTAGCTGAAGTAGAAATTAAAGCAGAATAGCAAACTTCATGAAATTAAAGTGTGAATTTTTCTATAACGCATTCTTTTTCTCTTTTTTTTTACAGTTATTTATAAAACCCCACCAAACTGTAAATCACCTCCATTATTTTCAAAATTTATCTCACATCACCATGATGCACATAGCAACAATAATCTTAGTCATCATAAACATCGCATTAGAAATATAATGAAACGTTTACATCATAAAACAAGTCAACCAACATGTGATGATTCAACAGATGCGCGAACAAACATGCAATTTAATTGTTCGTCTTCATCTTCCTTAATTAAGCATATGAAATCTCAACAACAACATAAAAATCAAACTCAAATTAAACAAGATTCTTTTTCTACAAAATCAAATAAAAATCCAGTCATTATGAAGCGTGTACATACTTGGCATTCGTTTGATATTAGACCAATTGAGCAATGTAAAGAATATTAAACCGAAAATGTTTTGTTTGAAGTATCTCACTCTGTCTAAATTTTATAGTTGTAAATGTTGAATAATTAATATTTTAATGGAAAACTGCGCTCTTTCTTTCTTGTTTTCCTGTCTTTGTTAGAATCTTTATTTTTTTTCGTATATGTTGTGTGAATGTGCACTATTATTTGGAGTTATGTAGTCGAAAATAAATATAGTAGGTTTTTTTTCTTCATAGTTCAAATCGTTGTTTGTTGTTGTTATGTACAGACTACATGGAATGAATAGACTTCGGATGAGTCTGTTAACTACTATGATCATGCTTGATAGTGAAAATCCTCTTCACCGTTAGTTATAGTTATTAATAATTGGATTTTTGGATGCGTGTGAATGATACACAAAAAAAAACAGAAATGTACTAATATTTATTGTTTATGATACTTAAAAAGAACTGTTAGTTCATTCTATAGTAACGTACAGTGAATTAGATGATTAGCAGATTGATAAAATTTAAGATATTTTTAGGTATATTAGTGATGCTCTTAGAAGACGTGAACAAAACGATAGTTCCAGTGATGATGGTACATTTGAAAAATGTAAGCCAGCTTAACTTTGGCTGATTAGATTTGTAAATATGTGTTATTATCTGTTTCAAGTATTACAACAACAACATGAGTCAACAAAAAAAATATTGAGTGTTCCTTCTGCCGTGACATCCACTTTCAAACAAGCAAAGAGTTCGAAGAAGAATGACAAGTACGAAAGATTCTAGAATGATTTAGAAAATTTTGTACACAACTACTGGTAATCTCATAGAATAGAGAGTATAATATTACTACGAAGGACATTTTAGATTAATTAAAATTCACTTGAACTATTTATTTCGAGATTTCGGTGAATGCGTTCACCATCATCAGAAAACAATATGAGAAGAAACAGAAAAATTAGTACTATTATATACCTCCCCAGTAATAGTAAATCTGACTGAAAATAGAAAAGGAGAGTGACAACTTGAACAAAAAGAAATGTGATTAGACCATATTATACGCATGTTTTTTTCGTAACTTTCATGCGTGAATAGACTTTCATTAATGACTCTTCTTCTCCAATCTGTTTCTATTCCAAGTGTATCAACATTGTTGAAATCAAATGTATGGTTGCCTTAATTAACATATTGAACAATCAATGAAATTTGGTTGTTTCCAGTTACAAATATCTGCTTGATGTTCACTCTTACGATGACATTTTTCTCTTTCTGTTTCACCATAGTAATAGTTATCATAATTTTTATATGATATTCGATAAATCAGTTTCTTTTTCAATTTACTAACATCTTTACCTTTTTGTAATGGTAAAAAAGATACTTTTAATGTTAATGTTTTACAAAATGCAATATTAATGTGTATAACTGGTAGTAATCGTTTCCATATCTTTTTAATACGTTCTGCTAATATTGTTGATTCGTGTCCATAATATAATAATATGAGTACACGCGTATAATATGGTCAGATCACATTTCTTTTTGTTCAAGTTGTCACTCTCCTTTTCTATTTTCAGTCAGATTTACTATTACTGGGGAGGTATATAATAGTACTAATTTTTCTGTTTCTTCTCATATTGTTTTCTGATGATGGTGAACGCATTCACTGAAATCTCGAAATAAATAGTTCAAGTGAATTTTAATTAATCTAAAATGTTCTTTGTAGTAGTATTATACTTTTTATTTTTTGTCATTTATTTAACACTACTCTTTCTCTTAATTTTCTGATAATTTCATTTTATCCTATTAACATAAGTCAGTGTTTATTTAGTTCTGATGATTTCATTCATGATTCAACTGATAGTAGTATTGAACAAACATATTCATCCTTTCCAACTATATGTGCAGAAGTTGATTATCTACCATCATCAGGCCAAAATACTAATGATCTAAAGAAAAAAACGAAAACAACATCACGAAACTCAATTCATACATGGCGAAAGTAAGAAGAAAATAATTTAACTTTTAAATGAATAAAAACATGAAAACTATTTTTAATAAACTTAGATTGGAAGATGTTTATACATCGGAGGAAACTGATAATGATAACGATGATGTTGAAATTACTAAATTGAAAATGAGTGAGAATAGAGTTGAACGAAAGTATGTTTTTAAAATACGCTTTTAGAATTCATAAACAATGAGGCACACAGTTAATCTAGTTCTTCTTTTCAGAAATAGCAATCTGTGTCTAGATGATATTTACACATCCGATGTGAGTGATCTTTCATCATCACCCATCTCTTTATCGGATACATCGAGTGGATCATACTTATCAGCATCGACATTCGAAAATCCCATCATAAGACAAAGTAACATGCTTGCAATACCCAAGCGTGATTTTTTAGAATCATTATCAGATAGTGTACCAAATCGTGAAAAGCATCCAGATGCATTACAGTTGGGTACTTTGGTTTTCACGAAATAATATTTGACTATGTATCTGTTCCGCTATTTTAGATACTGTTCAAATTTCAAGAAGAAAAGAAACGATTTAGCACAAAAATTATTTGACATATTCGATCGAGATGTATTCTCATCAAAGGTATTTTTTGTATTCTCATGGCTTATATGAAGCTAGCTTTTTTTCATTTTGATTACTGGCCTTACAAAGAGATATTGAATTCAAAAGAAGTTTGTGACTTCGTTATTCTCAGAGAATATTGTGTGAACAGATCATGAGAAAAAAAAGTATCGTCTAGTGCTAATTTGGATGCTCAGAAATGTTATTTATCTTCTACCTTACAAAATATAAGACAGTTAGATCAAATTCTACATTGGACAGTTTTTTTGAATATTTTTCTTCTGTGCAACATCATGAAAAAAAGATATAAACCATAGTATGAACTAGTTCAACTTTAAGTCCATCAAGTAAGAATATCGTTCCATTTAGCCCTAGACACTCTTCGATGTATAATACCTATTCAATTACTACTTTTTAGGTGTTGTTTATGAATAAACTTCGTGAAGGCTGAATTATTTTTAAACTACTAAAAAGAAATCAATAATACCTTTTTTTGATGCAGATAGAAGTGTAATATAAGAAAAATTAGTTTAAGATGGAACTTGATCTCATTATCGATCTGTCATCCGTACTTTTTACGACGCTAAATAGAAGCTGATAGTTATTTATGCGCTGGCTAATGCTTTTTGTTCTAAAATTAACTGCTTTTTGGAACGGAATGGATTGTTCATAATATCTTTTATAATTAATGATTAATCTGAGATACTCGCAATTTTGAATGAACCTTAGATTTACTCTTTTCTTTTTTCACCGTCTAGTTTTTAAAATCAGAGAAAGTTAAAGTACAATGGAGTTCTCGCTTAACAGCGACAGCCGGTCATTGTGCAACAAAAAATTTAACCAAAGACGTGCTTATCACATTATCAGAAAAAGTATGTGACACACCGGAACGTTGTCGAGATACATTAATTCACGAATTATGCCATGCAGCAGTGTTTTTAATCGACAATGTTTTTGTTCATAATCATGGTCTTTTGTGGCAAAATTGGTATATATTTCCTCCTTAAATATGTTCTACTATCTCTGTCAAATTTATTTTATTCTCTTTAGGACAAAACTAGTTGCGCAAATCTATCCCAGACTACCAAAGATTAAAGTGACACATACGTATAAAGTATTCTATAAATATGTTTATCGTTGTACAAACTGTAACTATGAGTAAGTTATACAAGATAACCATAGCTCATAATTCTAAGCTTCTAAAAATGAGATACAGTATTTATCTCTCAGCCCCATGAACTTTTGCTCTCCCTTCTCACAGAAGACTTTGGTTATAATTCTTTATACTTGAAACTGTGGAAGGAAACGGTTTTTCAGTGATATGACAGCAAACAAATTTTTTTCGTTTATATACACGAAATTAGTTAGTTACTGTTAGATACATAAAGTATATGTAGTAGTAGTAGCAAAAAGATCATCTATTATAGAAAGTGCTTTTTCTTTTGAAATTTTATTTTATACAAAGGTAGGATATCACAAAAAAACACCAACAGGACTTGTGGCATCCGGAGACACCTCATGATAACCTAAACTGAAAAGTTTCTAAGAAGAACCGCTACTATAACACATACATTTCAAAACAGCAAAAAGAGTTCTTGACGATGATCAGACACAATTGAACATGCAAGTCTATATTCGTGCTGTACTCCGTCACAACGTGAATCATCCGTGTCCACTTCTCCTCGTCGAAGTTGCAACGATCGCGGAATAAGGTTTTTTGCCGTACCGTACTATATGTGTCGCTCTAAAAAGGTCAGTCAGCACCGTACCAAAACGTACAGCAGAGTACTCTCCTGTATCATAATACAGCAAAATACACGAAATGCAAGAAAATTAGCTATCTATCTGTGTCTGTTTTATATAATAAGATCAAACTGTTCACATATGTATCATCGCTTTTAAGGTTCACCACTAGAATATATACTAACGAGGGAACCGCTCCAGGTGCCCAACTCCGATTTCCTTCATTCATATCTCGTTTTATAGAGCACATCGAGCTGGTAAAAAGCCTAAAAGGATTTTTGCCCATGGCTCTTGAAGTCTCGGTTTTCTGCAAAACCAGTTTTTGAGAAATTCTAAAAAATAATCAAAATCTTTCATAATGAGGCATAATTGTAGCCCCCACATTTCTGATTAAAATAAGACGTCTCCCAGCTCTACACGAACTTTCTTCGCAAAGTTATAGAATTTACAAGAAAAGTC